TCAGTATAGTAAGTAAAGTAATACTCTAAATTAGGAATCTTTCCAGGGATGCCCAATATCCAAAAGGCTCAAAATATAATAAGTGCTAATCTATAGTTTTGTTTAAAGTATTTTTTCCCCCCAGATAGAAGCTGCTTTCTTAGAACAGGGAAGTCATCCAAAAAGCAAGCTCCTTGCAGGAAAAATAGTTCTGAATGGAGAGAGGGAGGAAAGGTTTCACCCGGATTCACCACAGTGGTTCTTTATGCTTAGATGATTTTCTGACTTCAGCTAGCACAGTGAAGTGATCGGCCATTTTACTGACCAATCTTCTTCTCCATCGGCCCTACTGAGTTAGCTCAGACTGTAGGGGGAGCCACCGCTCCACTTCAGCTGATCAAAAGCCTCCTCGACGGTAGTCGCCCCTCCAGAGTGATTTAAGACCAGCATAAGGGTCTACCGGTAGAGAGAAAACAGCCAACGAAGAGCGACAGTTCTTTGTATGGCTGAAGGTGTCGTGATCCGGAAGCGGAAGTCATGGTTGATAGTTCTGAAATTCTGTGATGGGCCTACCTCAACTGTTTTAAACTATCTTTCTCTAAATTTTTGGAGAAGCAAGAATAGGAGGTATGCAATATTGAGGGCAAACAAATAAACACTGAAAGTTTTTAAGAAGAGACTGGACAGCCATTTGTCTGAAATGGTGTAGGGTTTCCTGCCTGAGCAGGGGGTTGGACTAGATCAGGGGTGTCAAACTTGCAACATCATGTGACGTGTTGTGACGTATTGCGACTTTTTTTTCCATTGCCAGCAATGGGGTAGGCGTGGATTCTGTATGATGAAACCAGACCGTGGGCCGGCAGTTTGACACCCCTGAACTAGATGACCTCCAGGTACTTCCATCATCATCATCATCATCATCATCATCATCATCATCATCATCATCATTATCTAAATTTGCAAACTAGTAGAATTAATCAAAATCTAATGAGTTGAAACATTAGCACTTAATCACTGACATCCTTTTAGTAACGTTTTGTTTTAATTCCTGAAACCTTTCTCTTCAGGCTTATAATGAGAGCGGTTTTATGTCATTTGGGTTTTTTTTGTGTGTGGGACATACAGAAAGAGAAAATGCATACATGAGTTTGTGCATATCAACATAGGTTAATCCTCATAATAGCCTGATCCTTGGAAAACTTTTTCTACTGTATTGGTAAAAATCCATACTGAATTGGATATCAGCTTATTTATGTTCTGAGATGACCAACTGATTACTAAAGTATATAAAATGTTACTTAAGGTGAATCTGGAAGATGAATATGTCAAATATGGTATTGTAAAATGGGTGAAAAACTTTAGGTACAACATAAAGCTAGATAAATGGGAGAATGTATGGACCAATGGTTTAAAATTTACTTTGAATTATAGTTTGAAAGAAAATTTTTATAAAAATAGTAGCCATTTTATAAAAACCGTAACAGGGTAAACTTTAACTAAAGGAAAACTGCTAGTTTAGTAATTTAACACTTTTTATTCTAATTATTTATAATCAAAGACTTAATAAGAAATAAAATAAAGTCTTAAATAAAGAGAACAAAAATACTTAATTTTGTTTTTCTAAACAATGTTATACATTCCTTGCCAGCAGTAGGTCAGTTTTGACATTTTTTGGCCAGTATGCTACAAGCACAATCCTAGTTCAATGTTACTCCATGGCTACTTATGTAATTAATGCAAGCTAGGAACTCTCAGCTAAGACTTTTCTTGCAAGTTTTATTGCCCATATTCCATCATGAGGAGGTACACACAATTTACTAAAGCTGTCAAGACGCAATATTACAAAAGCAGAAAAAAATTAAATCACAGCAAAATTATCAGGCTCATTAAGGCTGTTTTTCAATATTCATGTTCCCAAACAACTTAGCTAATTTGGTCTAAGATTCCACTTGTATAGCGCACTTGTTGATATGCTCATTAACATTTACCTCCAAACTTGTGAATAGGGAAGATCATTTTTTTAAAAAAAACCACCCCTAAGTCCCAATTATCTTCTTCAGGAAAACAAAGCAATGGCTGGGCTATATGACATCCACTTTGGCAGCTTCCCAATGTTAGGAAACTAACATTTAGAAGGCCAAAGAATGGTGATAAGCTGGAAAAGATATTGGAAAATGAGCGAGGCCATGGGAAAGCAGAAGTCCAAAATTTCTTAGAAAAAAACAATATTTCTAACAATACTGCCCCGGGTTCATTTTTACTGAAACTATTTTTTTGTAATCCTATATAATTGCTTCAAAGTTATACTCTAAATTACCCCACTGACCTAACTAAGCACGATGTATTATATCCAATGAAATATCTTGCCTTTGTTTTCAGCACTTTGATCTTCTCTTTAGCAGTGTCAATAAGCCAATTTGTGCTTCAATGTAATGGTCACTTAGTGTCCACTTTAAATAATTCATTTTAAGGAAAAATATTTCCACTGCACAAATGTAATTATAGGATTATAATTACATGGATATGAATTCAGTGGAAAAGCAATACCAAGTGGCAACAGAGGACAATATTTTCAAGAGAACTGTAGATTGGTGTATTTGAAGCTTTCTGAAACCAACAGTGGTAACATAAATCAATGGAAATATGTTTAGCTGTCATGGCTGCATGGTGAAAGAAACAAAATGGGGCTTGCTTGCATAAACTTAAGCGTTACACATTCCATGCAGTCTAGCATTCTGTCATGCAATAATTTGCAAGCATTTCAGATGATGTTTTAAACTTCAGACTTCTGTTTTAAAGTGATTGTTCTTTAGGAGTTGGAACACCTAATCTTGTTTTTTACAAGAATAGATAACATCCGCCATCTAGTGGACATAAGAGAAATGTTTAATTAACTTGACTTTTCAGCAAGCTTGTACCTTCTAGAATCTAGATACAGTATGCTGGGTAGAAGCTATTCTCAGGCCAGTCAGCAGTTGCCATCACCAGACTGGCATTCTCTACATACATTCCAACAGAAAGTTAAAAAGAAATAAATCAGGATTGTTTAGCTGAATTGCAAAAGAGTATATGCCTTAGCTCAGGGGTAGGCAACCTTGGCTCTTTTATGACTTGTGGACTTCAACTCCCAGAATGAAGTCCACGAATCATAAAAAAGCCAAGGTTGCCTACTCCTGTCTTAGCTCATTCACAAGAAGGTTCCCCACTGAAATATTTAAGAAACCTTGTTCTCATGATGTCACATTGATCTCACTGCTAATCCATTTCCGAAGCAAGCCTGAAACTTTAGGTGTTCTATAGAAGTTGGATTTTCCCTGCTATCCTGATACAACAGCCTGGATGCAGCTGGGGAATCAAGGCATATAGAAGAGAATTCCTGGGTTGATCCAATCTGCGTTGGCCATCTGCTCAGCTTTTTCTCCAAGTGTTAACTACTGGGATGTTAGTGGAGCCCCATATACATGTTGTGTGTTTTGTTTTATGGTGCTTTCATATTTTTTTTGTATTAGATTATTTTAACTTTATTTGATGTGGGGTTTAGTTTGCTTATATTTCAATACCTGACCGGGTAATATTATTGGTGCTGGTTAACATTGGATTTTCTCTCTCTTCATATACAGTAGTTTGCTGTGCCAGTGCTGGTCAGGATGTGCTTTTTGCCTTGGTTCAAAGCCTCAGTTAGGATATTGTTGTTTGATAGTTCCTTTGGTGTTAATCCTTGATTATCTGGATGAAAGCTGCTGGAGAGGATGTGTCCTGGACTTATTTCCTTCTTAGCTTTTTCCGTCTCTTTTGAATGGTTTGTAAATGTGCTTTATCTCTGGGTCTATTAATGGCTTGATTTATCTGTATGCCAAACTTCTAAGAATTCCATAACTTTTTGGATTTGACTTGGTCTAGGTGCTCAGTTTTCCAGTTGAAACTGTGGTTGGTCTCTGTGTTGTAAGATTAAGAATGTGTCTTCTACAAGTTGATATTTATGTGTTCTGCTAGTCTTCTGCCTACAAAACTTCTATTTCCACCCAGCATACTCCTCCAGCTGGCTGAAGATAACCGCTTAACACAGTTGGTGATCACCCAGTTTGGGAAGGCTGGTTTATGATCTCCACTATTCCTTTGAAAGAGGGATGTGGAATTAATTTCAGTGACTAAGCTGTGTATTGTGGGCATGCGTGAACTGCTTGAAATTCCTTGTATCTTTCAGTGTTCATCTCAGCAACATCCAACATTACCTGGCACTTTTACCAGCTTTCCCAAACTGATTTTCCCAATGTGCTTCACTGCAGTTCTCGTGATTGTGGGATGATGCGAGTTATACTTTGAAACACTCATTTGTATGGGTGGGGGTAATATTTTAAAAATCTGTTGACTTCTGCGGGCAAAATAATGCAAGATTTTTTGATAGGGCATTATTTTCATACTTATGATCATTGCAGCATCCCTGTGGTCAGGTGACCAAAATTCAGATGTTTAGCAACTGGTGCATATTTATGATGGTTGCAGTGTCTGTCCCGGGATTACAAAACTCCATCTAAGCTTATGTATTTATCGGAAGACTAAATCTTTGGTTTCGGTGACCGACCCAGATCTGGATCCTGCAAGCTTACGTATGTCTCGCAAAGCTAACCCCCAACGAAGTCATTTCTTTCCTTCATGGCTCACACAAATTCATCGGTCGTGTTCAGAATCCTTAAAGAAGACAATGCCTTTCATAAAGCCGGCAGCAACCTCTGTCTTTTCGACGCCAGCCGTTTCGCGAAACTGGAAAGGCGACCTGAGAAAACCAGATGGGAACAAGCGCCAGCTGCAACTTTCCACCGATAACTTTCAAAGCCCGCACACAGTTGCCGAGAACACCAAGGCGCAGGCGCGCTGGCGGCATTTCTTAAGCCAATCTCTTTGTCGGGCGGGGCAGAAATGCGGTGGCTCCGCCCACCGGCGTCTGACGAGCAAACCTTTGCAGGAGCTTGCTAGAACGTTCTTGCGTTCCTTTCTTCTTCCTCTTCCTCCTCCATCTCGTCTCTCCCCCCTCCCCGCTTCTCCTGTGACGCAAGACAATGCTCCACCTCTTCCGCACCGGCAGTTCTCTTCTACGATCGCGCGTGGTCGCGTGCGTCACCTCTCGGACGAGGCGCGGCTGGAGCCTTCTGGATCCGCCCGGGACTGCTGCGCTTTTAGTCGTGGGGACCGGCGGCGCGCGCTCCTTGGGACCAAGCTGCCTCTGCCTTCCGTCCCGCGGCTGCCTTCGCGCCCTCGTAAGCTCCGTCGCCATGAAGAGCCTGCCGTGCTTCTGCCGCGGGGAGGTGGTGCGAGGCTTCGGGCGGGGCTCCAAGGAGCTGGGCATCCGCACAGGTGAGGGCGATGGACCGGGCGCCGCTCCCGGGGGAGTCGGGTGGAAGCGTCGCGGCAGGTCCTTTTCCTTCGCCGCCCCTGCCTGGTTCTTCTGGCGGCGGGAAGGTCAGCTTTCTGGGTTCTTTCTTGCCTTGATTAAAACGAGGCTTCCACAGAAGTGGAGCTGGATTTTTTTTATTTATTTTTTGGTCTTTGAAGTCCCGTTCAAAGTCCAGCTCAGCCCCTTCCTAGATAGTGCTTGTGGGTTTTTTTTCTCCCATAGTACAAAACGACTTTATTTTTTATTTGATTTTTTTTAATCCCGTAATTATTTATAAATGCAGGTAGTCCTCGACTGACAACAGTTCCAGATTACAACGGCTCTAAAAAAAAGAGACTTATGACTGTTTTTCACAGTTAGGACTTCTGCAACGTCCCCATGATCATGTGATCAAAATTCAGGTGCTTGGCAACTGGTTCATACTTATAACCATTGCAACATCCAAGGAGTCATGTGATCCCGTTTTGCAACCCTCTGGCAAGCAAAGCCAATGGGGAAAGCAGATTCACTTAACCAGGTTTCTAACTTATCCAACTCCAGGGAGTCACTTAACAACTGTGGCAAAAAACGGGGCAACAAATGTCTCACTTAACAACATAAATTTGGGGCTCAATTGTAAGTTGTAAGTCAAAAACTACCTGTAACTTAAACTCCCCCCTCCTCTTTCCTTACAACAATCCTGTGAGGTGCATTGGGCTGAAAGAGAAGGACTAGCCCAAAATCACTCGTTTGGCTTTTATGCTTAAAGTTGGACTAGAACTCATGGTTTCTAGGCCAGCACCTTAATCGTTACACTAAAATGCTGTAAACTTAATAAGATGTATTGTGGGCTCCTAACCTAACTTAGAACTTTCATATTTTCTGGTATTATGTTGTCCAAGTATCCAGCCTAAATTCCTCCCCAAGCAAGAGTGTCTCCCCAACTGTTTAGATTAAAACCATTTCCATAAGGGATATTTTGTGATAATTTAGAATCGGGCTTCTGCATTTAATGAAGAGGTAGGTTTTTAACAATCCTGGCATGAAACTGCTCAGAAATAATATAATTCCTAGTTCTTAATAGAAAGAACTAGGTTATGGGCTTTTTGTTAAAATACATGCAGAGGAACATGCGCACATTCACTTTCCATTCCTTTTGCTTTAAAGGAGGTAACGTGTAACACAAATCATGTTACAAGATGTGGTTATATATTATTAGGTAGCCTAATACCTTCATTATGTTATAGACTAGGTACTATTATTTTCTATTATGTATGTAAATTACCAAATTACAAAACAACAGATGTTCCTGAAAATTCAAATGCAGGCTGGCCTTCTTGAGTATGTGTGTATTTGAAGAATGACTTAAACATTGATGTAAATTATCTTAGTTATATTTAGACTGCCCTAACCTATAGTCTCCCTCAACTGGATCATAGTATACTATACTATTAATATAGGTGTATGTATTGATCTAAGACTTTCTGCCTGATCTTTTTGAGTGTGCTATGAGTTACAGTATTAATAAATGTAAATGTTTTATTTTTCAGCTAATTTTTCCGAAGAAGTGGTTGATAGTTTCCCATCTGATATCTGTACTGGCATATACTATGGATGGGGTTGTGTTGGAAATGGAGATGTGCATAAAGTGGTTTTGAGTATAGGTTGGAATCCGTATTACAAGAATGTTAAGAAATCAGTGGTGAGTATGTTGTGTGTTAATATCTTAGAAGTAGCTTAGGACCTGATCAGTAGAAATTTATTTTTGGACAGTTTTTGCTGGAGAGGAGGCAGTGGAGTAGTGAGGTGTCAGATGCTCCATCAATGGAGACTGTGAGTAATATACTGAAACAAAATGGAGGATGAGGGCTTCTTGGAAGTGCGGTGCATGTTCTACAGCTCACATTGGAAGCACTCCTGGAGAGCCAACCTGCAGGCCTAGCAACAGGTTGGAGGCGAGCCCAGCACTGACAGAGCTTACTCATACTTCTGCTTGTTCTTGCCCTTACCTGCCTCTAGTAAAGCTGCCTGCAAAATGTGGGCAGGCTACAAAGCATCCAGATTTTGATGTCGTGGCCACATGATCACATGCAACAGCAAGAACTTTGAGGATCAACCATAAAGTTATATGTTCAGTGCTGCCCTAACTTTGGACAGTTGCTGAATGGTCACTAAGAAAGAACTGTCTGTACTCTTATTTAGAAGTCAATAGTTGTTTTGGTTTTACCTATATTTAAAACTTCTGGAAATAAACGTGTCTTTATTTCAGTGCTTTAATATACATATAGACATGCTATGAAATGTTTTTTTGTTTTTTTTAAGGAAACACACATCATTCACACCTTCAAGAAAGACTTTTATGGAGAAATACTCAGCATAATCATTGTTGGTTATATAAGACCAGAGCAGAACTTTAATTCTTTAGGTAAGTCTTGAGTATTTGAGTATTTATTGTTTGATAAATGATAAGGTCTACTAATAAGATCAGGTCTTTAATATCATTATTATACAATAGGAGTTCTTAAAATATAGGTTGCCAAGGCAAAGAATATGAAGAGCGTTTATACCTGTATTGGTTTGGGTGAAATTGTAGATCAGAAACATTTTCTTCCTGAAGAAAATGTACATTTACAACATCTACCTATGCTGCACGTTACATAGAACCAGAAAAATATGGAAAATTGCAATTATCTGGGGGTAAAAAGCACAACCCAACTGATAAATCTCAGTTTGAGTGATAATTGTACTGTAGTAGGAACAATAAACTTACATATAATGCTGGAAGCTTACATCTTTCAGCCCAGTCTACTTCACAGGGTTGTTGATGTGCTACAAAATTCATCTTGAGTTCCTGGAGAAAATACATATATTGGGTGTATAATTCAATAAGACTCATGACTTTTTTCTTGCTCTGTCTTCCCTTCCTCTTTGGCAAGGTATTAGCCATGCGAATCATAATTGAAAGCTGCATCGTTTTGGATCCTTTTAACTATTTCCTCAATTCCCATCTTTTTCCATAGAAAAAGCAACATACATAGGTACTCTCAGACTATAACTCACTCAGTTTAGGTGGTATGAAAGAAACTTGTAGACAGCAGATGCTTTATTTCATTTGTATCTTGAATCAGGCATTTACCAATATTACGAATGAAGGCAAATATGTATGTCAAAGTAATGATTTAAAAGCTAATCAGCTGATGTAATGTCAGATGTATGATGTAATGATGGGAATGACTCAGCAGGGTCTATGTCCCTTTAAGAGCCAGCTGGGTCTGTGTCCTTTTAAGAGCTTTGTATAAAAGGGAAGTTTCCGTAGATATGCTCTCTGTCTTCTGTTTTCCTGCTGTAAGTGCTGTATGTTGGAGCCTGCTGTATTAACACATGTATGTATATTGTTCCTGGTGTACGATACTGTAGATAGTGTAAGATAAACCACCATTTAATATAGACCACTGTTTACTGTGTTTACTCCTGGGTTATCTCAATGCAATAAGACTGTGCATGCTTTGACAATGTGTCTCAGGGTAATGTTGCCGGATCCGATCTGAGTCTAGCAGAGTGTGCGCTAAAAAGCCACTAAAACAGCCACAAACAGAACTGCACACACACTGCTAGACAGAAGTTCTCTGAAGATGGGCTCCAGCGTGACTCCGAAAGCTCGGAAGACAAAACCCCTGGTCCCAATGACCGACTCAGATCGGATCCTGCATTTGTCAATATTATATACTTTGGAACAGATCTGAGCATTTTGTTGTCCGCACGCCACTTCTGACTTACGGGTGATCCCAGTCTGGCCTATGATAGTGGGGGGCACTAACAATGTTAGGGCAGGGCAGTGGCAGTGGGGATGGTGGCGGCAGCCTTGGGGTTTGGGTTGTGGCAGCAATGGGCAGAGCTATAACCTTCGGCAGCAATCCCAGTTTGTCATGTGGCCCCTTGATAAAATCAGTTGCCCGCCCCTGCTTTAGAAGTAGTTAATGTTTTATGTTTTCCCTCTACAGATGCACTTATAGCTGCTATTCAACATGACATTGAAGAAGCTAAAAGTCTACTAGATTTGCCAGAACACCAGAAGTTTAAAGATGACAACTTCTTTCACAGAGGAAATGTTAGCAGTATGACTAATGGTCATTAAATAATTCCCTTTCTTTATTTTCACTGCAGTTATTTAAACTGAACTGATCTTCACATGTTTCTTTTTAATAGAGAAGGCTGCTCTTCTCTTTAGGATTGTTACTCTGCTCTGCTCTTTAGGATTGTTATTTTAGCATTACACTAAAATGGTTAGTGATTCTCTAAAAGTAACACTGTTTTTGTTTTTTCAAAAAATGGCCATGTAACTTGACCAATAGAAAGTGCAATCTGTTATGTGTTGTTGTTCGTGCAGACAAAAGGGCAGACAAAAGTTTGTTCTCTAAATGTTTCTACATATTTCTAATGATTGCTATTTATTTAATAACGCCCATGCTGTATGTTTTTGTTGTGAAAGATTTCCAATGGAAAAGTAGAAATATTATCAGTAATTTTACTGCCTGAATAGTTGTCCTAGACCTAAAGGCTTTTAATTGTTCATTTGAAACATTAGCTGGATTCATTTGAAGTCCTTTTTAATCCCTTTAAAATAGGATTTAAGCCCTCTGTGACTGCATTACGCTGTTAATTTCAGTGAGAGTAAAAGCGTAACTTAATTTCTCCTACCTTCAACTGAGAATTCCTAGATACTTATAGAGCTTATCTATTTTACTGTTTTATAGTGAATGGAAAGCCTTCATCTTAAGAGAGGCATCTGAACCTGGAACAAACCTTTATTTTCACAAAAGTTCCTTTACTTTTGATGCAACTTCGCTGTTACAAACCAGCCTTTCATTTGATTAAATGCTCCTTTAATTTGCTTGGAAGAAAATGTGACGGACTGGGGTCTTTGTGTATATCTACAGGTAGCCTAGACTTGCAAGTCCCGATTGGGGACCAGAATCTCAATCCTTGAGCAGAGCAGTTGTCAAGGGAGAATGTCATGTGACTACTTGGCCAGTGTAATTGTAGCATGCTCAGTTGTGGTAATGAAGCAGTCTCATGGGTTGCTAGGTGGACTGAGTCACAAGGAACCTGGAGGTGCCTCAGGGTAACGGAGGCCCTAAGAGGCTTTGAACAGGCTGTGGGTGACTTGGGAGATGCTGCAGGGCAATGCGAGGCCAGGGAAAGAAGCTGTGGCCACCCCCTTGGAAGCAACAGTTGCCCCACAGAAAGTATCAAACACCTGGGAAGTTCCAAGAGCACAGCACAAAAGAGCCACTCCTCATACACAAAGGGCCAGTTAGAGGGCAATAGACTGGTAGTTGGGTTTGCATTCCCCGTGCAGTCATAAGTAGGGATAAGCTGCCAGTCCACAAGGCCAGTGCAATACCTGTAACATCAGGCACGGGTCACAAGTCCCTTTGTTCAGTGCTCTTGTAATTTCGAACGGTTGCTGAACAAATGATTGTAAGTCTAGGACGACCTGTACGCTTGTGTTGTGTGTCCATGTGTACACATACGTATGTGCAATCAATTCTTGTTCTTCACAATAGTTACATTCTATAAGGTAATGAATTCTGATTTACTAAATACTGAACCATTGCTCCTAGGGGGAATATACAACGCACTTTTATAGTATGGGAGCTGAAATAAAAAGGCAGAGTATCCACTTTATCAGCCTCAATGGGAACATGTTTGTCAGGTGACTTATATTTTTCACTGCTCTGAGCCTGTCCCCAAATGACTGCAAAACTGCCATGTGTATTTGGCATTATAAATATATTTCAGTGAGTAGATGAAATTGTAAATATGAAATCTGCAAATAATGAGGATAAACTATGTATGTATATATATTTGTGTCTGTATACATGGTTTACCAGCTGCTATAAAGTGTATGTGTAACTTGCAATCCTAGCATGTTCCTGTAGTTCCAGTTTTCATGGCTTCTCTGTCAATATAGCTGGGGGGACTTGCTTGTCCCAGGATATTTATGTGCTTGGAAAAACAAAACAAAACACCAGAAGCTTATTACCAAATTATGTTTTTTTTTCTGCTTACATTTTTCATTTTGATACATGTTTTTACGCAAAATGCAACAAAAATTCTTTTAATTAAAACTTAATTGGATTGGTAACTGTGCTTACTGGAAAATGGGATGTGCATCGAATCGAAATGTCTAGTCTGGAAATGTGTACACTATGTGTATGGAGAATGAAGGTGACAGTGGAAAATTCAGTTGATTGCACTTTGATAATTTTACAAATGTATAATGGGTACAAGCTTCTAGGGCAGTGATGGTGAACCTTTTAGGGACCGAGTGTCCAAAGTGCAACCCAAAACCCACTTATTTATCGCAAAGTGCCAGGGTTGCATCAGTATTGTGTCCTGGGGGGCGTGGCCCACTGGGTGGGCGTGGCTGCAGTGGTCACGGCAGACTGGGTGAGCGGGGCCAGGGCGGCGGGGGCCAGTTCCTCACCATCTCCAGGGCATCCCTGGGAGCCAATGCCACTTGCTCACTTCCTGCCCTGTCGCTTCCAAACACCACGTGCTCGCTACTCTGACGAACTCTGCTGGGGCAACGGCACGCATGCCCACAGAGAGGGGTCTGAGTGCTGCCTCTGGCATGCGTGCCATAGGTTCACCACCACTGTTCTAGGGATTGTGTAGTGTAAAATATTTCAGTCTTATTTATCTGTAGGAAAAAGCTCATTGCATATATGTCAAATGCATAAGGAGAAAGACCACCCCAAATTTATGTTCACTGCATGAACATCATGAATTGGAAGTCTTATGTCCTTCATTTAAGATGGTGCCCCAGGAATCCTGAATTCTGTTTTTCATGGTTCAAATTTTTATTATTTCATATTTCATGTTACCATTAAATTTTAAAAGCTTGGGTTCTCCTTATTTTTATCTTGGTAACGTGCTCATGTTCTCTTTCTCTTTACCCACTCTGCATATGCAATTCTAGCAGCACCAAGGCCTTAAAGATAGTCCTCAATTTACGACCATTTGTTTAGCAATTGTTTGAGATTACAATGGTGCTGGAAAAAAAATGATTTAATTTGCTGTTCTTCAAACTTAAAAAAGACCTGCAGCTTCCCCACAGTTATGGTTAGGTGCTCGCCTACCAGTTTGTATTTATAGTGGTAGCAATGTTCTGTGGCCACATGATCACTATTGCTTAAATATTTGCTTAATGACCGTAGCAAAAAAGTGGTGTAAAATTTGGTGTGACTCACTTAATGGTCACATTGCTTAGCAACAGTTCTGGTCCAAAATGTCATAAGTCGAGGACTACCTGTATATATTTCTTGGTAGCTTAATGCAATCTATGACTGACACTCATTTCAACTTGTGTGCCAAAGAATATCTGGTGATGGGCTATGTATAAGTAGTCCTCAATTTACAACAGTTCATTGAAAAAAGTGACAGGACCATTTTTCACAGCTGTGGCATCTCCATGGTCACATGATTAAAATTCTGACATTTGGCAACTGACTCATATTTATTACAGTTGTAGTGTTCCAGGGTCATGTGATGGTCTTTTGCAACTTTCTGATGAGCAAAGTCAATGGGAAAGCAAGATTCACTTAACAACTGTGGCAAGAAAGGTCGTAAAATGGGGCAAAACTCACTTAACCAATGTCTCACTTAGCAACAGAAATTTTGGGCTCAATTGTGGTCGTAACTGCAGAACTGCCTGTGTAGCCACTAGGTCTCCTGCTATTACTGCCATCTCCAAAATGTTCTAGTGCAAAAAAAACCCTTTTTCTCTGGATGGGTAACATTCTGAAAATTGCAACTAGCCAAGTGCTTTTGCTTTTTACACAGTTCAGTAATGAGTAGGGCTGGGGGAGGGATCTCAGCAAAAAAGTTGAAGCCATTGTCTTATAAGCAATTTGTGACCACCAAAATAATTGCTAATAAAGTTAACAGATTTTCAGCACTGCTGTACATTTCCTTCTTCCTCCTCATGATCAGCATGTGACCTTATTAGCTCCATAAATATGAGCGTTAAGATAGTCTGGGCATAATTGGATATACTGTTGGCAGTGTATATTTGTCAATTGTTTTGTTACTTTAGAATGTGCCTTCTGATAGGGTTACTTTGTGAGATAAATTACTAACCTATGAATCATGACATGTATATAAATTATTGTTTAAGGGAATGTGTCACTTGACAAAAACACAAAGTTTTGGAAGCAGCAATGAAGTTCAAACCTAGAAATTGAATATATTGATTAGTCCTGGTTTTTAAACAGCATATGAAATCAAACGAATATGTATTGAATTCTGCCTTTTTATATATAGAGAGAATCAATTTTAAATTGATCATTGTAATTTTATTGAGTGCTTTATTTTTCTATTAATTTCAACAAATAAAAAAGAGAAAAGCTATATGTTTTCTATTAATTTTTTTCCACTCCACACAAAGAAACCTGAAAAACATCAAATACTATTCTGTTTTAATAAATACATAGACAACTTTTTGTCAATTTGTTTTTGAAAAGGTAAGGAATACGATAGAGCCAATTGGTTCTAATAATTAAGGCACCAAACTAGAAACCTGGAGATTGTGTGCTAATCCTACCTTTGGGACAAAACCAGTTGGGCAACCTTGGGCCTTTGTCATCCAGGATTCCTCACGGATCCTGTCCTAGAAAGGAGGCCAAAGCAAACTACTTGCAAAATCTTGCCAAGAAAACTTAAAGGATTAGTTCAGGCAATTGCCAGGAATCAATGCAGATTTGGAGAGCCTCATTATACTTAAGTGACCTCTTGCAATTTGAATCCCCATTATCTTAGTTTCCTCATAAATTACATAGAAAATCCCTATTGGGATGGAAATCCAGTTAGGTTTAGAGTTAGGCATGACAATCCAGTTAGGGTGAGATTTGGGGTTAGGGTATGGATTAGGGTTAAGGTTAGGGTTACGCTTTGTGTTAGGGCTAGGATTAGAGTTAGGGTTAGCATTACAGTTACGTAACCCACTAGGGTTACGGTTAATGATCCGGTTACCGTTAGGATTAGCATTAGTGATGGGATCCAGAAAAGGTTTGTGATAGTCCAGTGTGAACTTGAAGTGTAAAACCTACATGATGAGCCAATTCAGAGGCTTCTTATGCTTGAGGCCTCTCCTGTTTCCAATCCCCCTTATTCTCACTTCATTACAAAAAAATATAACAAAAACTTATTGGGAGGTAGGTGTGCTTTGGGTTGGGGTTAGGCATTAACTTGTAATGTCACTAAAAGGTCAGTAGCTTCGGGGACCTTAATGTATTTAAGAGGCCACTAACAATTCTAATCCCTTTTATTCTTCTCTTGTAAATTACGTGGAAATTTCCATTAGAATGGAAAGCCAGTTAGAGTTAGCATTAGGTTAGGTTTTGCATTAGTGTTAGTGTTAAGCGTGTGTTAAGTTTAGGGTTATGCTTACACTTTGTATTAGGGATAGGGTTAGATTTAGGGTTAGGGGTAGGAATAGGATTATGGTTAGCGTTAGCATTAGGGTTATGGTAGAGTTAGCATGAGATTTACAATTTGTATTCGGGTTAGTGTTAGGGCTTGTGTTAACACTAGGATTAGGATTAATGTTATGGTTACTGTTAGGGTTAGCATTAGCTATGGGATCCAAAAAAGGTTAGGGTTAGTCCAATGTGAATTTGGAGTGTAAAAGAGTCTCGTATTTCTAATCACCCTTATTTTTGATTCATTATAAAAAGTACAGTAAAATCTTATTCGGATGGAAACGCACTTAGGGTTAGGTTTAGGCATCCATGAAATAATGTCAACAGGAGCTCCGTAAAGTCTTATTATGCTTCAGAGGCTGTTAGCAATTCTAATCCCTCTTATGGTTAGGAATTAGAACTCAAGTTAAGATTAGGATTGAAAATCACATTTGGGTTAGTGTGAGTGTTAGATTTAGGGTTAGGAATGGCAATTTAGTATGGGTGAGATTTAGGGTGAAATTTATGGTAAGGTAGCATGAAGGTTCATGTTAGGGTTAGGAATGGAAATCCAGTTAGGGTTAGCATTATGGTTAATATTGGGGGTTGGAATAGGTTTAGGGTTAGTGTTAGAGATGGAAATTCAGTCAGGGTGAGGTTTAGATTTAGGCAATCTAATTGGTATTCAAATATGTGAAAAACTGGTTCTCTGTGTGAATGCCACTTTTGGAAGTCTGTTCTGGGCCTCGGCAACAAAAATTATCAGTTCGGCCGAACTGGTGCGAATCCCACCACTGGATTTAGGGTTGGAGTTAAAGATAGATCTCCAGTTAAGGTTTTGGTTAGGGTTAGATTAGGATGGCGGTTAGTGTTATGGATGGAAATGCATTTAGGGTTAGGGTTAGGGTTATTGTTAGATTCTGAATGGAAATTGGGTTCTGGTTAGGGTTCTGGTTCGGCTTCCTTGAAATCAGGGCTGAAAAACAACTTCAGTTAGATTCACAAGTCTTTTTAAGAAAGGGAGTGAATCAACAGAAATGCAAGACCTTTTAAACCAATTTGCTCTTATCATATCCCTGCACTGAAATATGTAAATCATGTTATTTCTCTGGAATTATGTACAGCAGAGCCAAGGTCTTTTTTTCTATTTTAGACTAAATCATCTGCAGTGAGTCTTAGGTATGCTTCATGGAAACAAAACCTTCAAACTATGTTTATGAATCTTCCTTACTTCAGCTCATATTGGGGTATTAGGCTTAAATCATTGTTCAATTACAATTGAAGTTGTAATTGCCAAGCCCGGAATAACGAAATTTAGAAAGTGAAAAGAGATAGATCGCTTCAACTCATCTCAAGGTTCACTGCAGTTCAATCTTGCAAGACTAAACCAAGTTTTACTGATGTGTGCAAACAGGTCGTCCTCATTGCTTGATAAATTGGTCCCATGTAGTTTAATAGAAAAAACAAAAAACATGAAATTACCTAAGAATTTTCTCCATTTATTTGTGCTGCAAAACAGATTCCTAATCATCAAGTTGTGAATATGCATGGTACATTCTCACAAAAAAAAATCAATTTTTTTCTTTCCCACAGGAAGAAGTTTCAGAAGAGTGGATTACATAATAACCCCAAATATTTCTTTGAGACTTACCAAATCAGTGAGATGAACAAATGACAAACTCTCCATATAATAGGCAACTTTTGCCTTTTTATTACATTCAGTTGTTCATATTCACGGTTAGGCTGTTGCATTTATTCATTTTTCAGTTCTACATGGTCTGAATCCATATTATTCATTGTTTCATCACCATATCAGTGCACGACACAAGAGGGACTTAAAACAGAGCCCTGCATCAATTTTGTCCAACGTCTGAAAAGTGGTGGGCAATTTAATTCAAGAAATTTCAGTTTTATTACATTGTAGAAATATTTTGTCTCAGACAAGTGCTTCATGATCTGAATGATACAATTTTTATATAAAACTGCAGGCAGAAAGATACTTGAAAGGTGTGGGTGAATACAGACAGCCATTTACCAAAAGTAGTGACCTACCTTGGTTTCCGTATGATGGAAGGCCGATCGCTCTGTTCTACCAAATGGTGAGGAAACATAATGCCACAGTCATTGCAGATATGTAGTAAGTGGTTATTTTTATCATTTAGGTGAGATTCTGAACTTGTACTACATTTACATACATCTTCCAGTAACTTATTCAGCAAAGCATTACAAATACAATGACACTTGTACAAGCACTAGGTTATCTAAAGGAGTAACTTTCATCATCATATTCCAGTTCATCTATGTCATCATCTTGCAGAAGTCCGTATTTAAATTTACGATAGACAGTGCCATCACGACTCATGTAGACAATATCATTGTCATCTTCATCGTCGTCGTCATCATCATCCCGATCCTTGTATTCATTCACTTGATTGTCTGGGTAGCTGGTGCTCTGGTAGTGATTGCTCTTGAAAGAGCTGAGAGTCTTTGCATTGTCTGCCAGCTTCTTATATCCAACCTGGTTAACAGGCATAGGTCTGGCTCGCAGTCTTCTCCATATGAAAAGAGTAGCCCCAAGGATGAAACTCAACAAAATTAATAACGCCGCTGTCAAAGCCACAGCTTTGCCTCTCATATTCTCTGGCAAATTAGGAGCGACCAATATACACTCATCTAAAGAAAAATGATAAAGAAATTTGTCATAAATTCATGCTCATGGGGAAAAACACATTCTCTACACATTGCATAATCTGGCTGAAGATGCCTCTCACTATCTCTGTGCCAATTTTCTCTCCTATACTTACCTTCTCCCCATTTCCCTGTCTACATATTGGCAGAGAATTTCCCACAGTGTCTTCTTCCAACTCCTTGTAGTCTTGCAGCATTTCAGACATTACTATTGCCCTATGATCAGAAGATCTGGCCCCCCACCAGCCATTTGGAACAACTTTTCTGCCCTGCTGCAGCAGCCACTATTGCTCCTCTGGGAGGGCAGTAATCCTGCTGGCCTTGTGGAGCCATGGTGAGAAGAACATTGTGATAACAGTGGTTTTAAGATCAACCTACTTTGCTCACAATCTTATCTGTGTCATGTGGAGTTAGCAACAAGGCAAAGGGTTCTCCACAAAATGTTGTCAAATAACAGAAAACTGTTAGACATAAATATCAACAGTAAACTATAAAGTCTGGCGACTACAAATCTAACTTTATGATTATGGTTGTTGCACGGTTAACCAATATTTTAGATGATTTGGTATTTTTACTCGCCGATCGAGTCCTTCTCAAGAACCCAAAATAAGCAGAAGTTGTGGGTTGATGGTCTTAAAGGTGTTGTCCCAGGATGTAAGCTGGTCCAAGTAAAGATGCCTTTCATAATTGACTGATTTTGCCAGTGCTTTCAGTGATCCAGTTATTTTGGAATGGCACCCAAGAAGTCTATTACTAATTGTACTATCTTGACTTTCATTATCTGTTGGTATATGCTATGCACTGCCAAGCCAAGCCAAAGATAAAAGATTATACCTTCTTGAAATGAGATTAGAAAAATTTCTTGGAAGAAATGTTTATTTAATAATAATGAGATTATTACCTGACATTACAGTGCAGTTACAACATTCCTGAGTTGGCATCAATCCAGCATCCTTACAGCATGGCACACATCGATATTCGTCAACATACATTTTTGCGTTAAGATGACATAAAGTACAGTTGAAGGGACCCGGTCCCTTGCACTGCATACAGGAATTGTGGCATTTCTCGCATTTTGATTGTTTTGCCTTGCATTTCACAAAGAACAGACAGAAAAATGAGCTTTGGTTAATGTTTTCAGGGGAAATGGAGAGTGCTATTGCTGAATTAGCCTATTGGGTAAAGTTATCCTAGCATTTATTTGATTTTGTCTTAGCACATTGTATACATATCTGATCACTGTGAGTTGTAAATTGTAATTTATGGCTTAGTTATATGTATGCAAATTATGGCTTAATTAAAAAAAAAGTTTAACAAACGTTGTCCTAGCACAAGGTTAAAACCCAGCCTAGCTAGCCTTGATCTAAAAAAGTATGCGACACTGAATATCTTTGTGTGCATAAAGTTGACATCCTATTTTAAAAAAACAAAAACACCCTTACAGTAGGAAAAAAAGATGATAATTATCATCTCCAACACCAGCTATCATCTTACAACCTACTGAGTCTGTGCAAACTCTCTTATGTGTTAATTATTTATTTTATTTATCTCCCGCCTTCATTATTTTTATAAATAACTCAAGGTGGCAAACAAGTAGAATGCTCATTTCACCGCCATTTTTTTTCCATGACAACCACCCTGTGAGGTGGGTTGGATGAGAGAGAGTGACTGGCCCAAAGTCATCCAGAGGCTTTCAAATCTAAGGCAGGACTAGAATTCATGGTCTCCTACTTTCCAGCCTTAACTACTAAATTAAAACCTAGATCTTAATTCCATGCTTAACATCATGGACGCTCACAGGAGTGTGAGCCCATATTTGTGTGTCAAAATGATACCTGCTTTTCTGGGATGTTTTCCCCACTTAAAAGGGGGTCTTACAATATTGACTTAACAGTTGCAATTTTTCTCAAAGGGACATATGAAAATATATTTAAGACGCAAATTGCTCTTTTTTTCTAATAATAAAGATCTCAACATCTGAAAATAGGAAATGCAGTGCCATTTTGTTTGATGATGCAGTTTTTCCAGAAACTTATAGTATAATAACGGAGCAATATAATTAGTTTTGTCAGAAGGAGCTAAAAGATGTTGTCTGCTCAAAGTGCTATAGAAATATGTGGCGTCATTCTGTCCTATTATTAACTTTGTCTATAGATGGAAAAAGACACCTATGAAAGCAGAAAAATTAAATGATCTGCATAATACATGGCATACAAATACCATTATTTAGAAGCTGAATTGTACCTCTTTCTAAATCTAATTGCAATTTCTCAGTTCATCATTTTATATATTCAGAAGCAGAAATATAAATGCTGAAAATAATTTAAAGAATGTGGAGTACTGTTTCAGAATGAATGCTAAAATTCATGTTTAGATAATTGCATTGTCAATAAAGTTTTTGTTTTTTAAAAAAAATTCTGTGTAGCAAGTACCTCTGAGACTTGGTATTCTCCTAGTAAGCAGATCGAGTTGCACATTCCAGCTATGAAACGATAATTTGTTACACAAGTTGTGCATTCAAATTCTCCCTTCCCTTAAAAGGAATAACATCATTTAAGAAATACATTTATAGAAAATTGTCCAATCCACACAATAATTGCTTTCATTCAGCAGCATTTGATCTTTGCAAATGTGGAATCCTTCTACTCCAAACATGCGTTTGAGACCCTGGACTATGTAAAATTTATGTGTACTACAGTCCCAATATAGTATCATTCTTTCAAGTCTGAGTATGTGGGAGTGATGATGGTGGTGTTTAGGATTATGATGCAATGAATTTCAACTGTGTTGCTAAAGACAGAGGGTTTACTGAATCAATAAAAGAGGATATTTATAGTCCATGGTTGAACTGTGGTGCTCTCTGAACTTGATAGTTTTCTTGCAGATGTTTCATTACCAAACTAGGTAACATCATCAGTGCACTGCAAATGTCTGCAAGAAAGCCACTAAGCTCAGAGGGTGCCAAAGACCCCACAGTTTAAGGAATTTCAGCATGCTAATTTTGAAGCGATTTAAGATATGCACAAATAATTATACAGATGTTTGACTACTTGGGACTAATCACTAACTAACTGGTGTGTGATTTCTGTTTCATTTTTTTTTTTATATCTGCAAGGCAACAAATACAAATAGTTGCACTGCATTCTAATTCAATATACCACTGAGAGAGTTCTTTCCTATTTATAATGTAATCAAGAAAATTATTTTAGGAATTAAAACAAAGTGTGACTTCAGCCTTTATATGGCTCTGAACTTGAACTTACCTGTGCAAGTGTGACAAAATGGATGGCACCGTTTACAAGTCTGAGTATCAAGATCTGAATAGTAATATTCAGGGCAGGTGGAGACACATTGGCCAGAAGAGTGGAGCAGGAAAAAATTTTCCACACAGGATAAGCATTCTGTAGATGCAGGTCCCAAACATTTCTGGCAGCTTGTGTGACATCTCTCACAAGTCCTGGTGACACTATTGACATAATACCTGTACCAATAAAATAGTAAAGCCAAGCTGAGTTGAGTAGAGCAGAACAATTACATTGTAAATGTTTATTTCAAAGCATTTTGTACTTTGCAAATCTATGCTGTTAAAAGGATGAGATGGGTTGAGAAGATGGAGCTTCTCAGAAGGCAACCAGGCTATTGAGTCTGATGTCCATTCTATTGGGGAGTCCTCCACATTTAAGAATCGTTTATATGTAGTTTGTCTGAGCCTGTTCTCAGCTGATATTCTAACCACCTGTCTGTCAAAGCCTAAATCTCTCCCTTATTTGTATCTTTTTCTTTCTCCGTGCCGCTTTGTTTATCTCTTCCTCCTCTTTGTGTCTTTTCAGGATCTTACCCAGCTGTACAGTTCTGGACACACAGGTGGTCTTGCTTGTACCGGTTTAGAGGGCAGAGAAGGCACTGGGTGCTGTGTTTCCCATTGCAGGTTTCACAGGTCCTGTGACAAGGATGGCAGTGGGAGTCAGTATCTTCATAGTACCCAGCAGGACAGGAACCAACACAGGATGAATCTATAGCAAAATAGCAAAAGACAACCTAATGTTTGGGATGACAAAGATTAATACAATCTGTAGTAGGGACATGGGGAAATTCTTTGGACCAACCAAGTAAACTTTCTAAATTTCATCAGTGACTGAGTTGTCACCTGCTATTCTGAACGTAAATAATAGGATTACTTGAAAGGAGCAATACTTTAACTCTCTAATGTATTCTACTCCTGGGACCTTTGTAGGATGAAATCTAGCATTGTGCAAGCGAACTTTCATTCACACAAAATATTTCCCTTCTCTCCAGAGTAGATTTTGAGAATGCAGGAGGAGCTATAGAAAGAAGGGTATTTCTTCACCATATTGTGTCTGGGTTTATACTACTGAGTGGTGCTTTGTTTATTTGTGACTTAAGATGCTATGTCAATTCATTCAGTATGCTCTCTAAACTAAATATTATGGGCTGGCACATTGTATCAACTTGTGAACTGTGCTGTTCAATACGTTAGGGAAAGCATGCTTAGTATGTTGTATAAACGTGGCTTATGAACAGAAATTGCTTGGAGACATGGCAATTTACTATTACACCTTCCCTGTAGAAATTTTGAGATCCTGGATTCACACATTGTGCTAAGCAGTGTTCCTGGGCCTAGAACAAAATTGGCAAATGCTGGATGGAGCACCACAATACCTTGTCTCTTGTGAATATGCACAAAATGTCAACAAACATACACAAGGGTTTGCATGGTAACACTCCATCTTCTATATTACTGATCTGATACTGCTGATTTTAAGTCCTGAGTTTTGCTTAGTGAGGTGGTGAATTCAGTAATGCGTAAACCATATTTTATGACTTAATTTTGTGTGTGTCTCAGCTTTTGTGGCTGTTTAAGAAATCCCAGTTAAAATTAACTACTGCCTAGCAAGATGTGTAACCCCAGCTCTCAAACAATGGCAGCTGTTTATCTACAGCAGGGGTGTCAAACTCGCTATGTCACATGACACAATGTATCACGACTCTTTTTGCATTGCTGGCAATGGGGTGGGTGCGGCTTCGGTATGATGAAACTGGCCTGCAGACAGGCAGTTTGACACCCCTGATCTACAGAGATTTAAAAGGACAAGGCAAATACTTACTGAGAAGATGCAAACCACTTGGGCAGCTGAGACACTGAAAGTTGCCTGGTCCTTTGCAATGGAGACAGTCCTTGTGGCAAGGCCTACATGTCCTGCCCTCTCTGTCATAGTACTGATTGGGCAAGCAGTACTGAGGGATTACACAGAGGCCACTGCTGGTCATCAACAGGCCTTCTTCACAGGAAAGGCACTTTGTGCCAGATGAACAAGTTCGGCAAGTATCGTTGCAGGCTAGAAAGTAACAAAGCAAAAAGATGCCGCCATTGAGTTTTTGAGTGTTTTGTTTTCCTTAATGAAGATTTGCAAATTCATATCTGCAGAATACAACATATTCTGAAATGAATATGCCACTCAAATGAGATTCATGCCATGTGAGGCCCCAGTTTGTACTGTCATTTACAGGTGAATATGAAGCACATTTGTTAATAAGGTTTTCCTCTGTATTTAGCTTAATGAAAACCACTTTTGAAAATAGAAGTTTTCCATAAATCAGAAGGTGGAAGGTAATTTAATTAACCTTAAACTTCAAAGTTACATGCTTTTCAAAGACTAGCAGCACTATCAACACAAATACTAATCACACTTATGATCTTTACTTATGCTTTTCTGCACCTTCATTCAGAAAGTATTTGATTTGATTACACTTGCTTTTCTGAAAAATGACTAATCAGATGACCATTGAATATTGATCTCTGCTGGTCATGAAATCCTGTTAACAAGAACTGCATCTAAAGCATGGCTATTTCTTTCTGAACTATTATAGGAAGTACGCAGAATCAATCCCACATACATATTGAAAAATACTTTTGGAATCTGAAAAGGTATTTTATTTTTGAGATTTAAGGGTATATAAAAACATTTATATAAAGATTTTGGTGCAACTTAGAATTCCAACTTGTAGCACGTCATAAGCATTTAATAAAACATATAATGGCAGGCAAAGTAGCAATGATCAGTTTGGGGAATGCAAATATCCACAGCAGCACTGAGCAAGTCATCTGGGAAGAGCCTCCAGAATTACCTGCTGTCAAAAATGTGAAAGTCCCACATTGTTACAAAAGATAAAGCAAGAGATCTTGGACAGTCCATATGATTTCTGTACACCTGGTTTAGGATTAAAGGAATGTACCACCTAGCCACACCCAATCTAGACTCATGGCGAGAACAAAAGACAAGGCCAGATCAGGGAACCACTTGAATAGCATGGCACACACAAGAAGAAACTCATTACTAAGGGGAAAAAAGGAGGAAAAAAAAGATGATTTGCATTAAATATGTATGTCCTGATATATACATACAGAGGCAAAGACAGAAATACTCTGATTTAAATAGAAATGCATCTTCCTCTTGTAGAAAGGTTTGTGCCTTGAGAATCTTGGAAGTGCTCAGTTGTAACTTCAAAACTCCCTTCCCTTCTTACAATTCTTTATTATTAAATTGAGCAGCTCTTTGAATAAGCAGTTCTTCAGGTAGAGAGCTGTCTTATAAAAGGTAGGGAATTGGCTACGCCAACACCTTTTGTTGCAGGAATTCTTGGGGTTCAAAGGAACATTTGACTTTTTACTGCTGTTTTCCTATTAACTGGCACCCTCCAGCTGTGTTTGGATCTCAAATTCTGGAATTTTCAGCCTTTGACCAAGTTGACTGGGATTTCCAGAAGACTCATTACCAATACATCTGGAGAATCTCTCAGTGACTTTCAATATTATTGAACACGGCATCCTTCTAAACCTTCTGTGGGATTGCCTGGGTCTAAGGATTGCCTTTAGTTCTGGATGGAGGATCTTTGCAATGATTGAAGGAGGACCAGTTATGCTCTCCTCACATCACTTATGCCTTGGTCATCTTGCATCTGGACTATAGCAACACTCTCCACATGCTCTTGAAGACTTGGAATTTACAGCTACTCTGAATGCTGCCCTCTGTAACAACCTCCTCCCAGGCATTTAAACAGCTCTTTCTCAGTCCTACTTCAAGCAAATCTTAAAGATCTGACTCTCAACCCAGGACAAAGACTAGAGAAGATATAGAGCTTCTTAGGATGATTGTGGGTTGTTCGTTCTTATTTCTTGATTGTCTATGGAGATTCTCAACCATCCAGGTCATGGTTGTCCCAAAAGTGCTGCTCAAATGCAACTGGACTTTCTTGGCTTTTTCCTTGAAAACATTTTGCTTCTTATCCAAGAATTTTCTTCAGGAACTAAAGAAATTTTTTGGATGAAAAGCGAAATGTTTTCAAGGAAGAAAATCAAGAAAGGTGAGCTGCCTTTTGAACAGCGCCTTTGGACCATTCTTGATGAATTGTTTTTACACTTGGTTTTTATTGTTCACCACTCAGAGTCATCTGGACTCCAGTGGCTTTAAAAATCTGATTTAACAAAACAGGCAAGTAAATGTGCTGAAGACGGAATGTCACACACTCGTATTATGGGAGAGACTTTAGAGAAGAAGTCTAAAACTTAAAGCTGTTGGAAGATTTTAATTTAAAGTCATTTGACTGAAGTGTCTGAAACAAATACACTCTCTGAATTGGATTACCAGTTGAACTGAAAAAGGAATACCTCTGCAACTTTTGGTCTCATCTTCAAAGTAAGTGCCATCTGGGCAGTCTTCAAAACATCTGCCTTTGTATAATGCATAGGAAGTATCAGGACAGGCAATACAGTCATCTTCTTCAGGGCCTTCACATTCTCTGCAGAGCTCATGGCAGGACAGACAGCGGGTGGAGAGAGAGTAGAAGCCAGAGGGACACTTCTGCAAACACATCCCATTGTGCAGATGGAAGGGAGGAACGCACGCTTTCAAGAAAAAAAACAACCACCAGATTCTATCGAGATATGCAAAATAATACAACTGTTTTGTCTTTTATATGATAGGTAAAAAACGTCCTCTTTTCTTTGGCACATGGGGGTCTTATTGGGATGTAGATGGGATTTCATGCTGAATCTTATTTTGTGGAAAAACACCACTTTAAAAACAAATGGAAGTTATTCTACTGGAAGGTTTGGCCTGATTCTGGGATAGTTATGTTAAATCAGTTCCTTTGCAATGATGATTTTAAAGGATTTTCAACAACTGCATTATAATAAACTCAAGCATGTTTTGAATATGATCCAGATGCCTTCCCCCCCTCCATTTTTGTGGAGTCTGTTTATGAAATCAAACCATGAAATCAAAACCAACATTAAAATGAAAAACACTGTATATTTAAAGTTGAATTTTCTGATATTCCTTACTTATGGATTAAAGAGTTAAAATAACTGAGAAGAACGTGAATATTATCAGTCTTAAAAATATTGAGGTTGCTTCTTTGGAGTTAAAATTAATTCATTAAAAGATTTTATTCTGAGTTTGTTGGATTCTTCAAAGAACGAATAGTAACGGACTTTCTAGATTTTCACTGTAACAGATACAAAAAATACAAGAGTACATCAACACCCTGTAATTTGCCATATCTAGTTTGGGAAGTTTCTTGGCAAAATATTACAACATGCATAACTGTTCATATAATGTATATGGCCACCCATCTCACAGCAGTGATTCTGGGAGTTTAAACAACACATAACCATCTAAAAATCATGATGTCTGAATTTACATCAGTGTAAGGGTAAATATTTGCAAGTGAAAAATGTGAGTGTAATATTTATAATTACAAAATCATAGAATCTAATCATTTTGAGAAATACGCTTGTATCAAACATGAAGAGTAGCTAAGAGAATCATACTGAGACACTAGAAAGTACTATTACCCCACGTATCAAGTCTAAATTCAAGAACTGTGTGATTTATTCATTTTGAAAGAAACTATTTTTTCCACTAATTAAAAAAAAGCACATTTCTCTTTGGCAAAGATTTCATAATATATTACAAGCAGAAATAAGGTTAAATGTAAGTTTTATATATTGTTATTAAACAATTACATTTTTACATGTGTCTGAACTACCTAAGACAGGGGTAGGCAATCTTGGCTCTTTTATGGACTTCAACTCCCAGAATTCCTGAGCCAGCCATTCTGGGAGTTGAAGTCCACGAGTCATAAAAGAGCCAAGGTTGCCTATCCCTGATCTAAGAACTTCCAGGTTGGAAGGATTAGCTAGTGACATCATCATTATCCTGGGGATGGCCAGCTGGAGGCTCCTTTCATGTCCCCGGCAGCAGCTGGAGTCAAGGACAAGAGGTCAATCCCGCCCAACGGGAGCTCTTGCTAACCTTTTGCCCAGGGCTCCAGCCACTCGAACCACCGTTTCCATTTCCATTTAATCCCAACAATTAAATGAATATGCAGTATGTTTAGGTGATTTATGTCAACATAATATGTTGTACTTTATTGCTTTTTGATGACTTCCAAGGTCCCTTCCAACTTTACTATTACTACTACTACTACTACTACTACTACTACTACTACTACTACTATTATTATTATTATTGTTATTACTATTATCTTTTTGTTTGTCTTGGTGTTATTGTTTGTAACTAATTCATTAGTTGTATGTGAGTATATTACTGTTCTTGAATCGCTTCTGGATATTGTTCTCCTTGTATTTATTTTTTTTAAAGTACGATAAGATTATGGGAAGAAAAAGAGAAGAAGATGCATCTCCGCTTGTACAGATGTGCAAGAACGCAGCATCTTTCTCTTCTTTGGCCTCAGCTGGCTGGAGATGGCTTTCAGACTGGGATTCCTATCCAGAAGTTTTCAACATTAACTTCTGGATTTTGAACAATTGGGTCTCATGGCTTTTCTTCTAATCGAAACCTATTAAATATTCACTGGGAAGTTATTATGTTTTCTGTGCTTGAAAGATAAAAACGCCAAGACAAGCTTTGAGGGACAGAACTGAGCTCGGTGCATGCTGAAGAAGGTTCTGCATTGATGGATGAGTAGAAAGGCCGAAGCTCTGCATGGCTCATGGATTCTTGGCTTACCTTTGCATTTACTTTGATGAATACATTCCTGACACATCTGAGGACAAGCTTCACAGGCTCCATCAGCAGCAAAATAGCCCTTGGAGCATTCAGGTTTGCATCTGAAGCCCTCAAGCAGCAAGGGCTGTTCACAGGAGAGGCATGTGGTGGCATTTTTTTTACACGTTTTACAAGGCAGGCCGCATTCCCCACACTTCCCATCTTTAGCGAAAAAGCCACTGCAACAAAGAGAGAGAGAAAAAACCCCCATCAAGCGACAGAATATTTTCTAATTCTTAGCAAAAGTACTGCATAGGTTTTTTTCTGCCTGCACCCTTTAAATTTTTCTTTGCTGTTTTCCCTTTTTTCCTTTTATTTTTTTCCTTGTTTTGTTTTTGTGTTTTATATTCTTTTGAAATTTAATAAACTTCTATTTAAAAACAAACTATTGAGGTAAAAATTATGAACTTTTGTACTTCTTCATTCAGTTATCCTTGATTCTGAAAGCGGTAAGTTTCCTATCACATTACTGTACCGATATCCAGTTTCTGAATATTTACTTTCCAAAGTAAAACAACAACAACAACAAAAAGGTTCTCTTTTATTTCACTGTGAGGAATACAATTTGCTGGAGTTTATGAGCTAACTTTATGATTGCAATAAAGTGAAAAATGTTGCTGCTGTTGTTTCCTGGGACATATTTCTCCAACACTCTGGAGTCTCCCTGTTTCCCCACATTCTTGATTTGAAAAAAAAAATAGAAGGTCCTTAGGATGGATTTCCTCAAGGTTTGTTTCCTGAGGATTTATCTGAAGTAAAAAGCCTGGGGTGATTGAAGATCACCAGACTCGATCCCTTTGCCAAGATGATTACACCAGCAATTTTTTTCTTTGAAGAACAATGGCAAAGCAATTTAATTCCCATCACACTGAAGGAGAACCACAGAGAATGCAGAGAAAATGCTCAATAGCAAATCCACACCTCTCATCAATATTAAACCATGAAAGATCAGGTCTTTCAAAAGAATCCCAAAATATTTTATCACATTTCTCACTTCCTTAGTAATGATTATATTTCTTATAGATATAAGTTAAATTAATATTAATTCCATTATGTTTTTTCCCCAAGTTTTTGATATCCCAAATAAAACAAGGTAAGCAACACAGGGAATTTGCTCAGAAAGTTTAACAGGTGATCTGACAGGATCAAAGCAGCAACTTTCATCTCAGTATTTTTGATCTGGGAAAATATGCTCTTAATGGAAATGATGCTGTGATTGTAATATGGACTACTTGGCCAATATTGCAGCCTGGTATCCTTAGATCCTGGATTTAAGGATTCTACAGCCTTTAGATTGCCATGTATTTCTTAGGAACAATCAGCCTTTTGTAGCTGCCAAACAGTCCTGGGAAAGAGACAGCTGCTTTAAAGCAGGTGCAGACAAGTCTTTTTTTCACATCCTCTCTTCCTGTGTACTTCAAAGCCCTTTTTGGAACTGAATCTGAGGCCCTACACAAACATAATATTTTAGAAATAAAATAGTAAAATGAATGTCAATCACTCAGTCTTTCTTTCTCTGTCCAATTGCTCATCTGATTCTAAAGTCTTTGTAAAAAGAAGAAAGGAAAATGCTTCAGCAAACAGTATTAGATCCTGTAGGGCCCTTGTCCTGAAGGTATTGATGTTCATCCTGATTCTCACTGTCCTTCTACTTTCTGGATCATCATTAGGGAAGCCCTGACCTCTGACCAAGACCTATTTTCTGTTTTTCAATTCTAATTAGCTTTGTATCCCTAGTCAGTCTTTCTTTTGACTAAGCATATGAAAAATCATTGTAAACTATATCCTTCTTCAGTCAATCGATCTCTTGACTTCATCCTATTTTCTCCCTCCTCCTGTATTAATAAGTTCTCAAAAGGTTGCTCACCTTCTTAGAACGTTGGGATGGGAATCTGTCCACTCTGCTTAAAAACAAGTCAAGGAACTTCACCACAGAAAACCAGAGGAATGAATACCTTCAATGCATCTTATATGTATCTTTTAAACATTCTGAAGAAGCCAATGGATCTCATAGCCTTCTCCAATGAGGTCACAAATATTGCAATGTAAAAAATGGGGAAGTGGAAATGCCACATTGAAAAGTGAAGATGACCGAGGAGTTTTCAGGAATTAATATAAATGGGTACATACATGGGGCACTCCTGCAAGCATTCGCCTCTGTGCAAATAGCGTGGCATGTTTGTACTGGACAAACATTTCAGACAGTGTTGATTTGCTGTGCATTCTTCACAGTCCTCAGTGCAATTCTCGCATTGTTTTGTCTTCGTATTGCGAAATGTTTGACGAGGGCAATCGTGGCCACAGGTCCCAGCAAAAAGAAATTGGCCTGAAAAAGAACGGTATATGTCAGTGGTTCTCAATCTGTGGTCCGTGGACTTCTGGGGGAGCCATGATGTCATCACAGGGGATCTGTGAAGGCTTGAAGAAATGTTATGATTTAACTCTTGAGTTAACTCTTGGGGGTCCATAGCCATGGTCCATGGCCACAAGAGGTATTTAAAGAGGGTCTATGGTAAAGAAAAGGTTGAGAAGCATTGGTATAGGTATGAATTGTATATTTGAAAGACAATGGTATTGTTGCAAATATTGACTCCCTGTTATTATTATAATCTTTTCCACCTCTACTCTCTTGTGCCCATTTTGAAGAATTATAGTTTAAATGTCCATGGAGAATGTAATTAAGATTGAGACATTCTGGGATACACTATTTATTACATACCCACCGATGTTTAAAGGGGCGTTTTTCTTCTAATGGTGCCACATAGGGATTCACCAAATGATTTTCTGCTCTTTTTTCATTCATAGTTATTGAGTCCTTACTAAGTGTAAAGAAGTGCAATGTGTTGACTGTTAGAATGGACAGTGAAGATAGTCAGGTGGTAGATAGCTTTTGCCTTTTAGGGTCAACCATCAGAGTAAAATAACCAGAAGTCAAAAAATATATTGCATGTTAGAACTTGGTAGGATAGTAAGGAAGGCTTTGAAAAAGAGACAAGAGAACTCACTGTGACATTTTATGGAAGCAAAAGCTTGGCTTTGAACAAGCCATACAGACCGTGCACTGATGCTTTTGAACTTTGGGACTCCTGATAATATCATGGACAGCCAAGAAAACAAACCAACGGCTTGTCAAACAAATCAACTCAGAGTTTTCACTTGAGGAACAAATTACTAGGCACAAATTATCCTACTTGAAGGCACATTATATAAAGTCCTAGCTCTCTTGAGAAGGCTGCAATGCTGGGTAAGTTAAAAGGAAAGAGAAGAAGAGGGCTGCCAACAGCAAAGTGGTGGACTCAGTTACAGTAGCTATGGGTGAGCTGTTGACAAACTTGAAGAACCAGGACAAACCCTGGAGACAGTTTACTAACAGTCAACACAGACTTGCTGGCAGATAATCAATCATGAGTCAATCACTAGTAGATGAAAGATCTGTTATTGTTTTCTGTTGCCTATATTGATTTGAACCGACATAGGCTGACCATAAAGATGGAAGGATGACAATCATTTCTACCATAAATAAAAATAAATAACATGGAATTATATTTTAACACAAATGCCTCTGGACTCTGTATAAGCCCACAGACATATTTATAAAGTGAAAATGGCAGGTCACTGAAATTCATTTTGAACCTGTGCAGAAAAAAAAGGGATAAGCTACTATGGCAAATATGAAACCTGTCATTCTGTAATTAAGCCAGCTTCTTATGATTGTCATTTTGTGCAAGAATCTTGCTTTCCAAATTCCCAATGGGTTCGCTAACTTGACAAATGCATAATCCCTATTATAATGTTATAAAAGAGGAAAAAAGAAATTGGGTGAGTGGTTTGTATAGAAGTAAACATACAACATGAAATAAAACACACCTGGTTGCCACGATTTCTTGATTGTATGCCCCTTGCCCAGGTTAAACTCTTATTTAAAATGTAGAATATACAGGTAGTCCTTGACATATGACCATAACTGAGCCCAAAATTTCTGTTGTTAAGTGAGACATTTGTTAAGCGAGTTTTGCCCTATTTTATGATTTTTCTTGACACATTTGTTAAGTGAACCACTGCAGTTGTTAAGTTAGTAACATGGATATTAAGTGAATCTGGTTTCCCTATTGACTTTTCCTGTCAGAAAGTCGCAAAAGGGGATCACATGACCTTGGAACACAGCAATGGTCATAAGTATGAACCAGTTGCTAAGCATCTGAATTTTGATCACATGATCATGGGGATGCTGCAAAGGTCGTAACTGTGAAAATTGGTCATTAGCCATTTTTCCCCATGCCATTTTAATTTTGAATGGTCACTAAATGAACCATTGTAAGTCAAGGACTATCTGTATTTAAAATTCCCACGAACAGCAAAGCGTAATGCTAGGCATTACCTATAAAACAGTATGTGGCTTGATGCCCAATTATCTGTAGGATTCCTTTCTTTTATCTAGTAATCTTCCCAGGAGAATCTCTCAGTTGTTCCTCACTTCTATGAAGTAAAAATCATGGAAGCAAGAATCTATTCTTAGAACTACAGTTTGTCCCATCTATTACCCAATTATGGAACTCTTTAAAGATGGGCAATTCTATGATTAATAAGTTCTCGCCATCTTTGTAATAATATTTATTTATATTTATTGTTTTTACATTTGTTAAATTTCCTGCGTTCATCTTTATGTCTGCATTCTAATTTTTTTTACAATGTATGCTCAAAATTGTTGATTGTATTTTTATTTATTTAGAAAATTTGTCCCAGAAAAATACGGAATACTCCATTTAATCCTCCAGGGAAAGATTGAAGGTAAACGAGGTCCAGGCAGAAGAAGAACATTGTGGCTTCAGATCTAAGGGACTGGTTTGGACAAAACTCAGCAGCACTTTTTCGTGCGGCTGCTGATAAAAACAGGATTGCCAACATGATCGCCAATGTCCGATAACGGATATGGCAGAAGAAGAAGAAGAAGAAGAAGAAGAAGAAGAAGAAGAAGAAGAAGAAGAAGAAGAAGAAGAAGAAGAAGAAGAAGAAGAAGAAGAAGAAGAAGAAGAAGAAGAAGAAGAAGAAGAAGAAAATTTGTATGCCACTCAACTCACTCATAGTGACTCTGGGCAGCTTGCAAAGGTGAAGGTAAAGGTAAAGGTCAAACCCCAGTACAGAAAAACAATAAAACCTTACTCCCATGGCGACAACAATCAATCCAATGTCCATATCACTATGGGATCCTCAGGACCACTGGCAAAACCATGTCTTCAGAATCTTGCAAAAAAGAGTGTCGAAGTTGAGGCTAATCTCTGATGGATGATGTTCCACAAGGAGGAAGCCACCTGGAGAAGGCCCTTCTTCTTGGTCTCACTAGATCAGGGGTGTCAAACTGCCGGCCTGCAGGCCGGATGCATCATAGCGAAACCGCGCCCACCCCATTGCCGGCAATGGCAAAAAAAGTCGCGATACGTTACGACACGTCACGTGACGTTGCAAGTTTGACACCCCTGCACTAGATGGACTTATATCCCATATTGTGGATGTTTTCTTGTTGATTGTTACTGTAAAGCGCTGTGAGACTGTAGTTGATTATAAATAAATACCTGCAGGGCATGAAGTACATCTATTGGCAGCTGTTTCACAGGTTTTGCATGAAGGAGCACATGGCTGAAAATCGGTAGCTGTTGCTGTATTAGAGAAGACAGAAGAAACTAGTCAGTAAGACTGGACATCTCTTGGTAGTGGGAGCTGAGTACTTGATTTCAAATAGGATTATGATAATAGTGTCATTTCATACCTTCCAAAACAAAGAGACAGGTGTTCAGGTGGTGAAATCCTTCCTTTTATTGTAGGACATTGCAATACAAATAAAAGACAAACAGTGGCTGCTAACCCCAAAAAGCATTCCCGAGCTAAAGTTATCTATTATTATTATTTCTCCAGAGAGTTGTCTACAACTGGCACTCTGACTTTAATAAGCGCACCCAATGTCTGAGTGACCAAAGCATGCTACTCCTTGTACTTCCTTTTTCAGAAGCTTGGTTCGCAATACAATCATTATAGTTCTGTATTTCTGTGGAATGGTGAAAGTCAGGCTAGGGTGAGCTGTTCACACTCTTGTCCCCTCCGTTATCTTGGCCAGCTTCTGAGATGCCTAACAGTTTTGTCTTAGATCAGGGGCAGGCAACCTTGGTTCTTTTATGACTCGTGGACTTCAACTCCCAGAATTCCTGAGCCAGCATAGCTGGCTCAGGAATTCTGGGAGTTGAAGTCCACGAGTCATAAAAGAACCAAGGTTGTCTACCCCTGTCTTAGATCATAATCTATTTTCAGCTTTCTCTGCAGAAGGAGATGACAATGATACGGTGACATCCAACCCGTTACCTAAAGTACATCTGTCAATAAACACCTAATATCAGCTAGCAGCCGAAGCAGAAGTTTTCAAAAACTCAAAGCAGTTACCAGACAGACAGCCCTGCTGAATTGATGTCCACTGGATCACGCAGAGTTGGAAGCAAATGGACATCAACAACCAATTAGTGCAGTGGATGTAGGCATTTTCCTACAGGTAGTCCTCAGCTTACAACCACAACTGAGACCACATTTCTGCTGCTAAGTGAGACATTTGTTAAGTGAATTTTGCCCCATTTTTACGACTCTCCTTGCCACAGCAGTTAAGCAAATCACCGCAGTTGTTAAGTCAATCACACGGTCGTTAACTGAACCCGGCTTCCCCGTTGACTTTGCTGGTCAGAAGGTCGCCAAAGGAGATCATATGACCCCGGGATTCTGCAACCGTCATAAGTATGAGTCAGTTGCCAAGCTTCTGAATGTTGATCATGTGACCACGGGGGACACTGCAATGATCTTAAGTGTGAAAAATGGTCCTAAGTCACTTTTTTTCCCCCAGTGGTATTGTAACTTTGAACAGTCACTAAATGAACTGTTGTAAGTTGAGGACTTTAATTTTCTTTCATTTCTATACTACATCTGAACATTCATAGTTAAGTGCTTTTTAACATTGTGTTAAATTTAAGTGCTTTAAGAACCCTTTTGTGATGTGCTAAGATTCATCCTGAGCGCTGCTACTACTGTAATACTTCTGAATTTCCAGCAGAGGGAAATATGCATCAGGAATTGGGAAGCAGATGGCACATTAAATAGTTACCAGCCCAACAATTCAAGTTATCTACAGCAAATGTAAATTGTTATTAATACAAGCTTCAGAACTGTATTTGACGTTGGTCATTGCGTCAAAGTTGCATACCAATATAACACAGTGGCCTATTTGCTTTGCTTTTCCTGGGAAAATTTGAAAACCTCCAGGTTGCAAAATTCCTCTCACAGAATGGCATGTACTTTGATGTGCTCAAATATGCACTTGTTTCTTTGATTAATTACACAGCTATGCTTTCCTCGCATCTCTCTGAATGCCATATCAGTTCTTCAAAAGCCTGGCAACAAAACACACAAAACAGCCCCATACGTAGCTTCCAAGGCAGTTTGAATTCTGCAAACAGGTGCGATAGCCTCAAGGATGGCAAATTGTTAGGATATAACAGTGGTGGTAAACCTATGGTATGGGTGCCAGAGGCAGCACTCAGAGCCCTCTCTGTGGGCACGCGCACCATCGCCCCAGTCCTAGGCCTTCAGCTGGGTTTTAAAAAATCTTTTCGCTTTACGCCTCTGCCACCATGTACAAAAAAAAAAGGTTCAATAAATCAATTTCAACTTCTCGCGGGAAAAAAAAAGATTTTGCGAAGTTGGAATTGATTGATTGAACTTTTTAGTTCCACCCAGTCTCCCATTACTACCACAGCCACGCCCACCCAATCGGCCACACTCACCCAATCAGCCACACCCACCCGGCACCCGACGATGCATAAATTGGTTTTGGGTGGCAGTTTGGGCACTCGGTCTCTAAAAGGTTCGCCATCACTGGGATATAATGTCTTTCTGGATGGTAAATTTGCTGATCAAGAGTTAAATTACAATTGTATCGGAGTACTTCTAACATTATATGTTATATTACTGTACATTAAAAGCATTATTAACATTGGTCTACTTTTCTGTTCTTAAGCAAACATATTAAGTTCAACTAAAATAATTGTGCATGTATAAATTAAAGTAGGGATGATATATTCATTGTATAAATTATACATTCACTGTTAACTATACAGTCCAGCATCTTTACATTTCCATTTTCTAAAACTATAAAAGAAATAATTTATGTTATTGATAAAATTCTATGTTTGCTTACTGAATGCCACAGGTGTGGGAAGGTTATAAGTGTTGGTTTGTGCATGAATAATATTTCTGCTACATTTTTTCACTACTTGAAGCATTTCTTTTTGTTTCATAAGCCAAAGGAAGGCCTTTTTATTATTCTTAACCATTATGGTTCTTCAAGGTATAAAAGTGGTCATTCATTTATCATGAATAGCTTGTACCTTGCACTTATTAATGGAAAATAAATGGAACAGTCTCCCAGAACCATATTCCAGAATAACTGTAAAAAAGAATTATTCCTTTTTTTAAAAAAAATTCAGAAAAAATGTATTGATAAATGAGGGACTGCATAGCAAAGAGATTGTATCATATTATTTGCGATAATATAACAATAATTTGTATGGCCAGGATAGCATAAATTGATTTTGCTTTCACACCACAGATGGAGCTAGTTGCTGTTAACTTTTCAGAGCTGTAGTCACCCATGCACAAACACTGAACAAGACTCACATATGTAACATTATAGTTATACAATGCAGTTTAATAGAAATAGAAATATACATGTTATAAATCCTTGAAATTGTGCAGTTTCTGGATTTAAGAGACTGATAAAGAGCTGTGGAGTAATAAATTGTAACCTAGATATGTACATCTTTAAATGCCTCCCCCAATTTTTACAAATGTAAAGTTATACACAGCAAAAAGGTATTTCAATTTTATCACTTTTTATGTTAAATGTTCTGCAGAATTCTCATTTTCTATATAGTTTACAAATCAGTGAGAAGCTTAGCTGGCTTCAGAAAGTCTGGCTCTGAGGTGGGCAATTAATTTTTCCAAGAGGCCACATGAAAAACTGGGATTGTTGTGGAGGGCTGAAACAATAAGGCTGTGAAAGTGCATAGCCATGCATGCATGCACAGATGTAAATTGAAAAAAAAAAAAAAACAGACACCTTCAAAATAAAAGCAATCTATTGCGCCTGACAGAGATAACCAAAGGGCCGGATGTGGCCGAGGGGCCATAAAATGCTCAGGTCTTGCCTACCTATATAACCAATCACCATTGTTGAATTGGGAGGCTTTGTGGGGCATTTTCACTGAACTTCAATGTAATAGTAATTCAAGGGCATCATGTATCCTACATTATGCTACAGAGCATAGGAAGTGCATGGCAAACATATCAGCCCTAGTGGCGCAGTGGTTAGAATGCAGTACTGCAGGCTACTTCTGCTGACCCAGTTGCCAGCAGTTTGGCAGTTCGAGTCTCACCGGCTCAAGTTTGACTCAGCCTTCCAACCTTCTAAGGTCGGTAAAATGAGGACTCAGATTGTTGGGGGTGATATGGTGACTCTGTAAACCGCTTAGAGAGGGCTGTAAAGCACTGTGAAGCGGTATATAAGTCTAAGTGCTGTTGTTATTGCTATTGCTATCAAGAGTTGCAAATAGGCAACAAAGGCATCAATAATTCATCCCTCGTACTTTCCTAAAGAAACTTGGGCCTAAAGAAAACCCAAATGAACCAACTGGAACCAAACCAAACCCTTCATCTGAAAATCTAGTGACCTCTCTTTCTATATGGAGACAACACTAGAGCTACAGAGACCAAGAGTCTGAATCCAAGCCAGATAATTTCCTGCATTCTGAATGCCTGAGGAGATCTTGTTCCAGATCCTTCTGGACTTGTTTGTGCAGGCAGGGCGACTGTATATATTTAAAACCTATCAGTTGTGAACAAAACCCAATAATATTAAACAAAATTACTACTGACAACAAAATATCATTTGAAATCGCATGTTGATTTTTTAAAAAAAGTCTTTAAACCATCCCCAGCTGAAAAACATTGGCACAATATATTAACCTTGTTTTCCTTTGTTTAACTACTGAATTTTTTATGTGTCTGTGGATTGACTGAAGAATGTAAAAGTTTGGTGACTTAACATGTTAGTAATCTGCCTGTTCATGCTTCTTAAATCATTCTTCTACTCTTAACATGCAGCGAATCAAGCCCTTCATTATGTCTCCTGGCTTTCCAATAAAATCATCTGGTACACAAGATAAAATACAGATGTTCAGAGCAACACTTACTGATCCAGACATTTTTTCCCCTTTGGAAAGAAAAGAAAGAGAAGCTTGATAAATTCAAGTTTATTATTTTAGACTCTGTCACAGTTTATTTGCATTAGCCTTGCTAAGGACTGATTTACTAAAACCAGCCTCTTACTAACTAGTTATTACATATGAAAATCTGGTATCCTATGCAAAGTGTATGCATGTAGAGCTTGTGTATATGTGAATTTGTGTGAGTACATCTGTATGTATGTAAGTATTTGTGGGCTTGTGGGGGGCGCAAGAGAGAAGGAGTAGATTGAGAGAGAGAGTGTATAATTCTTTTCCACAGTCTTACATCTTCTCGTTTACTTTTTCCAGTTGGCAAAAATAGACATTGTGAAAACTCTATTCTATGGGGGAAGCAATTTGCAGGAGATGATCCAACTTTTGTTAAAGAAGATGATGGGGTTTTTTTTCCTGCAAGCAACAATTTACAAGTAGGAGATTTATCTGTCTGCAGAAACCATTTGTTGTTAGGTCTTCGATCTATCCAAAAATGACAGCTGCCTGAAACTAAATTTTGAAAAATTGCCAGATTGAGATTAGTAGTAAGCCATATCCAAATCATTTGAAATTGATTTCTGTCATAAACAAGATAGTTATGTGTATCAGACCCAGCCTGTAAGCAAACGGATTCAATTCATTGGATCGTTCAGAATACAGAATAACAGAGTTGGAAGGTCTTCTAGTCCAACCCCTGCCCAAGCAGGAGACCCTATACCAGGGGTAGGCAACCCAAAACACTCAAAGAGCCACTTGGAGCCGTTTCCCACCAAAAACAAAACACTGGGAGCCGCAAAACCTTTTGGATATCTAAAATGAAGATAATACTGCATATATCCTTTTTTACCTTTATCGTATATATACATATGCAGTGTTATCTTCATTTTAGATATCAAAAGAGTCTCTCTCTCTCTGTGTGTCTCTCTCTCCCTCCCTCTCTCTCTCTTTCCTCTCTCTCTCTCTCTCTCTCTCCCCCCTTCTCTCTTCCTCTCTCCGATCTTCTGCTCACCTGGAAAGCTGGCTTCAAGCTGTTCTCCAATAAGCTGACACACATTCTTATTGGGCTAGCTCAGGTATAGGCAATGTCAGCTATTTTATGACTCATGGACTCCAACTCCCAGAATTCCTGAGTCAGCATAGCTGGGCTAGCTAGCTCTCTCCTGCCCTTCCTGCTTCCTGCAGAGACGCAGCAAAGGGAGGAGCCCCGTCCAATAAGCTTGTCAGGCTACTCTCTCTCTCTGCAAATGGCAGAGGAGGCAGGGAGCCGCAGGGGAATGCTCAAAGAACCGCATGCGACTCCGGAGCCGCAGGTTGCCGACCTGCGCCCTATACCATTCTGGACAAATGGCTGTCCAATCTCTTCTCAACCTTCTGTGCTGGAGCATCCACAACTTCTGGAGGCAAGCTGTTGCATTGACTAATTGTTCTCACGGTCAAGAAATTTTTCTTTAGTTTGAGGCTGGCTCTCAGATACCAGGACTCCCTATTTAGCAAAGAGAAGTGTGTTGGGATGGAGCCCAGGTATTCCCACCTCTCAATCTCCCTTAAGGAGGCTTTAGAGAAGATTTTTTTGGTTCACTAAACCAATGCTGCAACCAAACTAGAAAACTAAGAACAGATTAGTTGGTTTTGAGTGAACAAAGAGGCCAAAAACAGTATTGAAATTTGTTACTTGTTTCTCTTCCAATAAACCGTACCAGTTGATACTGGATCTGCCGTATCTGAACTAGGACATTCTTTGACCAGGCTAGAGATGAGGATATTTAATATAATCTAAACTTTGATTATTCATATAGCAACATGCATAATGATTCCCTGTCCCTGTTCTTACTAACTGTTTGGGCAGTTAATCAACCATGTGCTTAACTGGTGATGGGATTAGTAATATTTTGAGACTGCAGATAAGTGCTGGATTCTCAGTGAAATACCTTTCTGACCATCCTTCTAAGGTGTAGGCACTACCGCTATCACTTGGGCACAAGAAATTCCTAGAGGACAATCAATATTTGTCTGTCACATGACCAGGATTACACAGCATGGCTTAGTGGTAATTTAAGGAGGAAAAACTAAATATTTTGCAAAAATAATGCAAAGCCATTATAGACTGAGTTGGGGATGCTTTCATACAATCAGGAGTAAATCTGGATTTGACAGGTTAATCTGTGGCTGTTAAAAATCACATTGGACAAGGCTCTCAATTTATCACTTTTTAAAAATAAAACCTATATTTTTTATTGAAATCTACACAGAGTTTTAATACCTTCTCCTAAAATCTCCCACCACAGCCATGTTCAATTTGTTCAGATGGAAGGTTTAGTACAGAGGACTTTTGTTTCTTGGGATTATCCAGATGTCCATGAAATCAAGGTGGCAGCTGCAATGGTACAATGGAACTTCAACCCATTTTTATGTGCAACACACACATACACACACACACACCTCACGTTAAAACAGTGGAGCTTTGACATACCATTGCAACTGCCATCTTGACTTTTTGGACCATGCCCTATGAACACCTGAGGCCCTTCCACATTGCTGAGAGATGATATGGTCCACCTATCCTTGGTTAGAAGAAACTGTATTAGCATGGATGTTGTTGTTCCCATTGCTTCTATTTCTCCCTCACCTGTGTGGCCCATCATTGCCAAGGACCTGACTTTTCTCCGAGAACTGGGAGAAACCCTAAAGGTATACTCACCTTGAGATTACCCTGGATGGAAAGAGTCAACTTCACATCATTAGAGCTAAGCATGGAACAACATTAAAAAAAAGCTGCCAGGATATATTTGTGCCATGTTTAGGTACAAGGAAAGAAATGGCCTTTAAACATTTAAACATTTTCCCCAGTATCAGTTTGTCTCTCAGGAGAGAAATCTCATAAAGAGCATTTCTGTTCGGTGTAAAAAAAAAAAAAAGAAAAGATGACAGGCAGTTTTTGATTTTATTTACTTCATCATAGTTCCTGTAACCCAATCTGGATAAGACTGCTACTCAGAAGGAAAGAGAAATTCTAATATCTTTTTCCAACCCAATTATTTAGGAATAAAACTTTTGCTTGTTGCAGTGTTCGGGCTGGGTTCAAGAAAATACTTTGCATTAACTGTAAGCACCCAATGGCATTTTTTTTAAAAATCCGTGCTTGCTTGGAGATATTCATATAGACATTTTCCCCCTCCCCATATATAAACATACAGTATACCAAAGTAATGGAGAAAGTACAGGTAGTCCTCAACGTATGACCATAATAGGGATCAGAATTGCTAAGTAAGGAGGCTGTTAAGTAAATTGCACCCCATTTTATGATTTAAATGAAACATTGCAGTTGTTAAGTGAATCACATGGTTGTTAAGTGAATCTGGCTTTTCCCCATTGACTTTCCTTATTGGAAGCTGGCTGGGAAGATCGCAAATGGTGATCACATGACCTGTGGATCCCGCAACGGTTGTAAATAAAACACTTGAATTTTGATCGTGGGACTATGATGTAAGTTGTAAGTGTGAGGACCAGCCATAAGTCACTTTTTCAGTGCCGTTGTCACTTGAAGCATTCATAAAACGAATGGTTGTAAGTTAAGGACTACCTGTACTAAATTTGCTTGTTGTCCTACAGCAAGCAGGCCAATTATTAAGTAAATAATTATCAAAATAGGAGAAGTGAAACCCAGTTTAAGTGCTGTTGCATTAATCTGAAGGCTGCACTGTGCCAGGATGCTAAAGTAACCAGTCTCTGCCACAGGAATAGCTACTCCTTGGACTGATGACTATTACTCCATCCTAAGTAAGTTTAGCACAGGGTCACTGTCAAATTAAATGTTTGCAGTATAAATACTGGATTACTCTCTTTACCTACTTATTGCCTTCCATGTAATAAAGCAACTATGGGATTGCTAGGGAAAGCCCACCTTGCATTAAAAAATGAAATCCTGCCCTTACCATGTTGGCTAGTAATATTTTTTAAAAAAGATTTGTTTTAGTCTTACATCGCTTCCGGATAACGCTCAGACTTGTATTTTGGTGAGCCATGAAGGGGAAAGCCTTCAGCAGCACCCGGGCATTCTCCAAGAATGCCTCTTTAAGTGCTTTTTCCGTCTCAATTTGATGCCTGGATGACACCGAGAAGAGATGGATCTCAGCCAACCGCAAGGATCGCGACGGGACATAAGGGAAGAAGCGGCCCTTCAGGAACGTGGAGCCCAAACCGTCTGAGGTGCGCAGCTTCAGCTTCTCTATCAGTAAAACAGGATGAACAATAACCACATGGCCTAATCTTGATGTCTTCTTCACATGGGGTATAACTGAGTACATTGCTAGTAAGCATATTACAGTAAACAATAGATGTCTCCTGCTCGCACTAGTCTATTTTTAAAACTATGCATTTGACAATAATGCTATGGGTATAAATGAAGGATTTACTCTTAGTTTGGGGAATTCCTGACAAAATGGCCCCTTCTCAGGGAAGTTTCCTGAGCAGCCCGCCCATCATTTTTACTAGGCACAGGACTCCTGAGAATTTAACCATGTTGAAGAAGGGATGGCAGAACCTGGAGGTGAGGTGAAAAAGGAATCAGCCTAGAATTCCTACGTAGTCACAAAAGAATTAAGTCCAGCCCCCTTGAGTGCCACTGATCCTTATCTAATTCAAACCAGCTGACTATTAGTTGGGAAGATCCCTCTGCATAGGCTTTTAGTAATAAACCAGCTTAATTGAACCTTCGCTTGCAGACCTGACAAACTGTGGGTATTGCAGATCAAGCCACCCCATATCAGGCTCAGGTCAAATGTCAGTAACAACTCCAATTCCAAGTCTGCCAATAGCACCAGTTCTTCTTCTGCTATATGCCCAGTTTGCTTTGAGAGTTTGCTAAAGGGCAGGTTCCTTTCTGTTCAAAGAGTTCCTAGCACTAACAGTGAAAACAATGCAGCAAAATGAAAGCAACCTACCGTTCCAAAATTTCCCATGCTTTCTCTTGTGTTGGGGATTTACACACTTCCCATACAGCAGCTGTAAATTTCCTTGGCAGCTTGTACAGTCATTGTAGTTGACCCCTCTGCATGTTTTGCATGTCTTGTAGCATGGTTCACACTCTTCTGTAAGTTCATCTTTGTAAAATCCAGCTCCACAATCTCTCACACACGTCCCACCTGAAGCACAAACACAAAGTCATGGCACTATTGAGGAAACTGACAATACAAAACCCAGTTTCTGCTTATCAGGTATTGAGGATAGATGATGGGGATTAGAGTCGCACCAATCACTAACACAATAACAGATGCAAGTAATTCTGAAATGAACTGGCTACCTAGCCTCTCCAGAAACTATGTCCATGGCTTCCTAAAAAATTGACCTAAAGTACAAACTGATAATTAGAGTTGCTGTGCTGCATTAAGCCAATGTTTCTTAGCCTTGGCCACTTTAAAAGAGATAGACTTCAATTCACAAAATTGCCAGGTTGACAAACACTACATTGAAAAAGCTATGTGATCACACAGCACTCAGAGATGGTAATCCCAAAGATGGTTTTCCACGAGGCAACTGGACTTTCTTGCTTTTTCTTTGAAGACGCTTCTTACCTGGTGACTCACTAAAAGAATGCAAACAAACAGCTGTCTGCAAGAGTATAACTCTTTCCATTCCCCATCATCCAGTTAGAGCTGAAGAAGCTTCTTGGATGAGAAGCGAAATGTCTTCAAAGAAAAACAAGGAAGTCCAGTTGCCTCGTGGAAAACCATATTTGGGATAACTATGACCTGGATGACTGAGAATCTCCATAGGCATTCAGAGATGTGAGGATATTGCAGAAAACCGCAGGACAGACTCACTGCTGAATCCCACAAAATTGGAAGCACCCAGTGTTATGTCCTGGGCCTGCTGACTTAGTCAGCAGGCTCAGGAATGCTGCAGAGAGTCCCGGGCAGACCACGTGGTTGTACAGGACCAGACTGGCTGTCTCCAGCCTTGCATGCATGTGCAAGGTGGGAAACCAGCCTCTGCAAAGATTGGTTGATGCTGTCCTTGCAAGGACACTATAAAAGGTCTGCGTGCCATTTTGGTTCTGTTCTGTTGCTGACTTACAATAAAGAAGATTTGTTTTTTTGTTACTCGCTTCATCTCAATGCCTTTGACTCGTGAACAGAACACCCAGACTATTAAAAGAATCCTACTGTTTGCACAATTCTATTAGCGTACTCTTCCTATGAATTAAGGTGAGGTATTCACATGGAGTAGATCCATAAAGTCAAATGGTAGCCACAAGTTCACAATGGAGGCCCGTGCCTTGTTTACATGTGACACAATGCATGCAAAAAGAAGGAATAAAGCCTTGGTCATGCAAGCACAGCTTCCACCTTGACTTTTTGGACACTTGCTCCCCCACATTTCATGGGTGTATCTGAGACCACATTCTGATTGGGATATTAAAAAACTCTTCTAAAACAGCTAAGGACTGAATGCAGATTCCTTTCTTTGTAAATAATCTAAAACTTTACTTCCATTGGTGAAATATCTTTAATAGAAACTATATTTTAAGCAATGTAAGTTTTCAGATATGCCTTATATGAAAGTAATTAAAAATACCAATAACCCTGCAGAGGTTGGTTTATAATGTTTCAGTACATATTGATCTGAGTGCTCGGTACAAAATTTGATTTCTTTGATAAGTATCTGTAGTAAGAGAACAACAGTCCACAATCAAAGAGAAGTGAACAGATATTGAGGCATGCAACTCTTAAGGTAACAATAAAATGGAGATTCCCAAATTGGACTGCATGCTTCCAAATGGCTATGTTATTGTCTTAATTCAAAAGAGGAATGGGTATGTTTTAAAAACATTTTATGTTGAGAAATTATGTAAGAACCATACTGGATCACAAGGGGAGTTTTGCCTTTCCTGCATTGCCAATGGATGCTGGACTTGGAAATACTTGGAATACTCTGGATGTGCAAAATATTTGCTGGCCAAGTTCTCAGAGTTTTGTGTTCGTGTGTGTGTGTGTGTATGTGTGTGTGTGTGCGTGTGTGTGATTTCAAAATGTCCCTATGAGTTGCCAGGATAGTCTCAGACATTCTGACTAAAATTATCCAGGCTCATCCTGCTTCTCTTATGATAGAATTTAAATTATTTTTTTTACGTATATAACCAGTCATTTGGAAGACTATTTATTTATATAAATTTTATATAGCCATCCATCTCACCAATGTATCTCTGGGTGGCTAACAGGAATTAAAATTGTGTTCCAACCAAGTCACATAAGTGGCTCCCAAAAACACTATTCACAAATAGTGAGGGCTTGATTACTGACTCTTATGCCTGGTGAAAAAACTAGCTCTTCATGCATTTGTGGGTGTCTGAATGAGAAGATGTGTTTGCATTAGTTGAATTTATTTAGATACATCATCAAAAGTTTAAGATCAATGACTCCTTGAAAATTTGAAAAAAACTATTTCCCAGTTATTCTTACATTTTTCTATGTAGCACACTGAAGTATTTGTGAACAAGTATTTATACGAGTATTTAATCAAAGAAATGAATTTTGAACTGAGGCAATTGAGATCATGGATTATTACCATCTTTTATAAAAATCAACATGCTACCCCAACTTTTCCTCTCCTAAAGGACCTACTAAGTACAGAAAATCAGGTAAATGTTTCACTTCTTGTATTAGACCTCGGGACCTGTTATACATTCTGAGCCAACTTTTGTGCTGCAGCTACAAAGTTTTTCTCAGACATAACATCTAGCACTCTGGGGAATTTACCAAATCCATATTATCTTTCAGACAGTTAATTGTATGGGTTTTTCTCCCTTCATGAGAAATGTGCTGATTTTTGATTACATAAGCATCACTAAGCATTCCCTTGACAGTAACTAATTTTTCATTTTAGTATGCTTTAAGACAGGGGTCTTCAAACTTGGCCCTTTTATGACTTGTGGACTTCAACTCCCAGAGTTCCTCAGCCAGGCACACTGGCTGAGGAATTCTGGGAGTTGAAGTCCATAAGTCACAAATTTGAAGACCCCTGCTTTAAGACAACTAATAAGTATTTGATTTTAGGCTTTGACATGTTTTAGCATATGTGGTCCTTACAACTTCTAATCTGATTGTGTCTGGTATCTGAAATAACAAAATAAATAATTAAACATCTCGTGTCTTTGATTTTATATTTGTTACACAGACTGTGTTCACAATCTACATTCAACAAATTTGAACTGGGGTTCTTATTTTCTCATTTTTTTTTACATCATCCATTGTCTGCCCAAATAGACAGAGCCTATTTTGTCATCAGTATCAAATCATGGATATTAACTTTCAGTGAAAAGCCTTTATGTTTCTAGGCTTTTTTTGCATGCAGGTCTGGTTGTTTCACTTACCTAGAAGGAAAAAACCTTCTTCACACCAATAGCATTCATATCTGTCACAGCTTTGACAATTGGATTGACACGCAATGCATATGTGAGAATTGTCATCTGGAACAGTATTTTGAGGGCAAGTTCTGTAGCATTGCTGATTGTACCTACCCAAAAAACAAAAGTGAAGTGGGGAGAAAAAGAGTCATTTGCTACTGGCATTCTTAAATGACAAAAACTGATAATACTAAAGAGAAACTAAAGAACATTGAACAAAAGAAACTGACACCATCTTCCCATATAAATAAGAAGCACAGAAATGTAATATTGCCCTTCCTTCTCTTTTTATTACTTTTAACAGGACAGTCCACAAAACACGCTTGGGTATATAGGTAGTCCTCACTTACTGAATGCAATAGGGACGGGCAACTCTTAAGTTGCTAAGTAGCGCGGTTATCACCTGAATTCACAAGTGCCTGAATTGTAATCACATGACCGTAGGGACACTCTGATGGCTGCAGCGTTAAGAACCAGTTACCTCATTTTCCAGTGCTATTGTAACTTTGAATGGTTGCTGAATGAGTGGTCATGAAGTGAGGACTACCTATACTAAAGATAAACATTATTCATACCATAATCTTTGCCATGTTTACTCCAACCAATTTACTTGGGAGTTAGCCTTAAATGGCCCTTGTGAATCACTTAGAACAGGGGTAGGCGACCTTGGCTCTTTTATGACTCGTGGACTTCAACTCTTGGCTGGCTCAGGAATTCTGGGAGTTGAAGTCCACGAGTCACAAAAGAGCCAAGGTTGCCTACCCCTGACTTAGAGTCACATAAATAAGATGGGCAGCTATACAAAATGAATGAATGAATGAATGAATAAATAACACATATAAAAGAAACATTTCTGTATGAGTTACAACAGAATCTTTTTTGTTTGTTTGTTTAAATATTCAAAACCACTTATGGACACTTGAAAAGCCTTCCCCAAGTGGTGCTTTCCTGATCTGCTGGAGTTTAGCTCTGGCAATCTCCAAAATCTGTTAACATGTCTTATTTTGGGAAAAGCTGGTCAATAACCTTGTAACAGAAGGCTCTGCTTTCATTTAGAAAAGAAAATGAGATACAGAGAAAGAAAGGAAGGAAGGAAGGAAGGAAGGAAGGAAGGAAGGAAGGAAGGAAGAAAGAAAGAAAAGTGATAAACTTACATATAATAATTATGGATACATGATGTACAGGTTTCTGGGTTATCTGGAATAAATAAGTAACACAATGAGAATAAAATAATTTGTCAAACCAAATATTTTTTAAGATTAGGACCATTCAGGCTTTGGATTCAAACACAAAATGTGCACTTCTGCTTGCATCATTATCATTATCATCATCGATGGTTAAAATCAAAATGAGATTATCACATTCTGAAAGATTTATGCGCGGTCTCGTGTTAAGTATAGTGCATGAGAGTCATATTAAATACACTTGAACTTCTTGAACCCCAACAAATCAATCCATATAGACAGTGATGATCCTGGTTTAAGATTCTAACAAAATTAGAATCTTTTCATAGTTAAGGAAAATGATGGTAATAATTATTATATTTATATTATTGTGTCATTTTCTTTTAAGAAGTTAAGAAGATTTATCGTTGTTTTCAAATAATGCTAGACATATTGCTTTGAAAAATTATTCCTACGTTCTCTGAACAGTAATATTTTAAAAAACTAAAAAGCATCATAAAAATATAAAGGTGTCTCTTAAATCAGACTTTACTCCGGAAAGATTGATTGATTTAAACTATTTATACAGTTGTCCATCTCATAGTGATGATTCTGGGTGATATACAAAAGCTTAAGCCAAATAATAAAATCATCATCCAACGATGCACAAACCATGATGTAGAGTAAAAAAGGTTTTTACTTCTCAATCTAGTGAACAATGGTGGCATCTGATGGTTTCCCATGCAAATACTAAGTATTGTTATTGCACCTTGCTTAGCATTTTCAAGGTCAGATAGGGTGAGCCTGACCAAAGGAGGACTTGCCCTTATTTTTGTTATCATGTCCTCCTTTCAGCAGTCTTAAAATCAAATTTTATTTTCAGGAGCTAACAAGCTCTCCCTTCCTGAGCAGCTTTTTTTCAGAGTACAGCACACCCCTAATAAAGACAATCACAAGTTAATAAGCTCCTGTCTGTGACCTTAGTTGATTAGTACCTGCCTTGTTACCTGAAATTGACAAGACCTGCATCAGTTACATACTGAACCTGCTCCAGTATATTCCTGCCTTTGAAAACCATCTTTCTGATGTTGGAAAAAGCTCACCCTGATTTATCCTCCCTCCTTCTCCCACCCTTATTTGTTCTCCTTCCTCTCCTGCTTCCATTTGTCCTTCTTTCCATTTGTCCATGTCCTCCTTCGCCTGTTCTGGCAACGTCAGCTAAGTATTTATTTCAGATTTTAATCAATGATGCCAACATAGCATGATCCCAGAATTAATCACAATATTAACCCTCTGGTGTAAGGAGTTAGAGAACCATGGTCAGGCATGTTGCCTTTATTCATGTACTGTATATGAAATGTTTGGGGCACATATACAGTGCTTGAGAAAAATCTTTTCTCAAAACCACAGAAATGATTAGTTAGAGCAGAGGTCTTCAAACTTGGCCCTTTTATGACTTGTGGACTTCAACTCCCAGAATTCCTCTGCCAGGCATGCTAGCTGAGGAATTCTGGGATTTGAAGTCCACAAGTCATAAAAGGAGCAAGTTTGAAGTCCCCTGAGTTAGAGGGAAAGATATATATATATATATATATATATATATATATATATATATATATATATATATATATATATATATATATATATATATGTTTTCTGAGGTTTTCGCGGGTATTTGTATGTAGGTCTTTGGTTGTTCGGGTTTTCTCCCACGTAAAATTGGAAGTGTCTTGGCGACGTTTCGACGAAGTCCCATTCGTCATCTTCAGGCTGGTGTTTTCAGCTTCGTGCTTCGAGCAGCAATGTGTGGTCTTAGCTGTTTCTTCCTTTTAACTGCCAGTGGGGGTATGAACTGATTGGGTGGGAGCTTGGCTGTGTTCTGATTGGGTGGAGGTGTGTTCTGATTGGTTAGGGGCGTGGCTGTGCTCTGATTGGCTGGGGGGTTGGCTGTGCTCTGATTGGCTGGGGGGTTGGCTGTGCTCTGATTGGCTGGGGGAGTGTTCTGTTTGGTTGTGCTCAGGTTAGTCTGAGTTGCAGAGGGATTCAAGATTTTGGGCTGCCCTGCCATTCCTTGGCTTCGCGTTCGTGGTCGTGCTTCCTCTTCATGGAGGGTGTCAGTTTGCTTCATGTATGGATTGGGGGGGTTTAAAGTGGCTAATGATGCAGCTGTGGTCTGGCTTCTGGTTTGTGGTCGTGCCTCATAGTCAGTGTGGCTTTGGGTTTGTTTTTTGCGTGGATGTTTGGTGGTGACCTCCTGTGTGGTTTTTGTGAGTGTGGGTCTGGTATCATTTTTTGTGTTAGGGAGTCGTTTGTCAATGAGGGCGGGTTTCCAAATGGCTGGTAGGCGGGAGGTATCATCTCGCTTGTTCATGCTGTGTGGGCGTTTTTCTATCTCGATGGCTTCTCTGATTATTCTGTTATTAAAATGTTCACTTTTGGCAATGGTTCTGGTATTTTTAAAGTCAATTTCATGTCCTGTAGCTTTAAGGTGTTGGACCAGGGAAGATGTTGGTTCCTCTTTTTTGATTGAGTTCTTATGTTCTTCAATGCGTGCACTTATTCTTCTGTTGGTTTGTCCGATGTATGTGGTGGGACAAGTGGTGCATGGGATCAAGGAGTATACGAAATCCCATGCACCACTTGTCCCACCACATACATCGGACAAACCAACAGAAGAATAAGTGCACGCATTGAAGAACATAAGAACTCAATCAAAAAAGAGGAACCAACATCTTCCCTGGTCCAACACCTTAAAGCTACAGGACATGAAATTGACTTTAAAAATACCAGAACCATTGCCAAAAGTGAACATTTTAATAACAGAATAATCAGAGAAGCCATCGAGATAGAAAAACGCCCACACAGCATGAACAAGCGAGATGATACCTCCCGCCTACCAGCCATTTGGAAACCCGCCCTCATTGACAAACGACTCCCTAACACAAAAAATGATACCAGACCCACACTCACAAAAACCACACAGGAGGTCACCACCAAACGTCCACGCAAAAAACAAACCCAAAGCCACACTGACTATGAGGCACGACCACAAACCAGAAGCCAGACCACAGCTGCATCATTAGCCACTTTAAACCCCCCCAATCCATACATGAAGCAAACTGACACCCTCCATGAAGAGGAAGCACGACCACGAACGCGAAGCCAAGGAATGGCAGGGCAGCCCAAAATCTTGAATCCCTCTGCAACTCAGACTAACCTGAGCACAACCAAACAGAACACTCCCCCAGCCAATCAGAGCACAGCCAACCCCCCAGCCAATCAGAGCACAGCCAACCCCCAGCCAATCAGAGCACAGCCACGCCCCTAACCAATCAGAACACACCTCCACCCAATCAGAACACAGCCAAGCTCCCACCCAATCAGTTCATACCCCCACTGGCAGTTAAAAGGAAGAAACAGCTAAGACCACACATTGCTGCTCGAGGCACGAAGCTGAAAGCACCAGCCTGAAGATGACGAATGGGACTTCGTCGAAACGTCGCCAAGACACTTCCAATTTTACGTGGGAGAAAACCCGAACAACCAAAGACCTACAAATATATACATATACATATATATATACATATATAACAACCAAAGACCTATATATGTATATATGTATATATGTATATATATGAGTAATAGCATTAAAAATATGAACCCTGGGTATATTCATATTTTAAATAAAATGAGCACCAGGGTAATTAAAACTATAAAAAGTTTAATTAAAAAACGCCAAGCTTTTGCCGTCACCTGCCGGCATCATCAGGGCTTAAAATGCTAAGAAGTGAGGAAGTCCCTTATAAGCAAGCCAAGGTCTGCACTCGGCTCCTCGATCTTGTTATCGGACCTAATTGAGTGGATTGCACTCCGGTGATCCGTTTCTTCCTGCACCACTTATCTACGTGTATGTCATCACTTGTCTTCTTTTCCTTGGATTCCAGGGTAGGTGGAACGCCCTTCCTATCTCCCTGGTTGTTCTCACCCCCTCTTCCACTTTCCTGCTCGGGCTTGTGTAATGATTTGCATTTCTCCTTTTTCTTTTTCCCCCAATCCACATCCATGCAGCTGTTCTCTCTACGAGTGTTTTTTCTTTTTTCTCCAATACCTCCCCCTCGTGCACAGTTGTTACTAGGGTGGTCTTGTGTGACATCCTGAGCTATCTGGGTTACAGTGGTGAATTGGGGTGATTCAGTAAGCCGTTTGTCCACATGATAAACCTCGTAAGTATGCCCATGCCCAGTCATCATGTCTCTCCCCCCCTTCTACTGCCGTCTTCTGCATCCCTCCTCCACACGCTACCATCGATACCATCGGTGCAGGGGGAGGTGGGATTTTGGTCCCCTCGGGCGTCATTGCGCTCCTCTTCCACCCCCTCCTCCCTTCGACGTTTCTTGTTCTTGCATGAGTATGGTGCGGATCGTTAAAGTCAATGGATGTTACCGGTGCGAGATGCAGCAGGCTGGTTTCACAAGCCCCGCCCCCCCACATCCTCCCATCGGGGTTCGCTCTTCTCCCTTTTCTTCGGGCTATCCATCCACACGTCGTTACTCTCAACATCATCCCACGTTCCATACTCTCCTAATTCAGTTTGCGTCGCTGGGCAGGGGAGCCGTCTCGTCCTCTTCGAATCGATCGCCTTCCTTCTCCCAAAAAGTTAATTAAACTTTTTATTTTATAGTTTTAACTACCCTGGTGCTCATATTTTATATATATATATATATATATATATATATATATATATATATATATATATATATATATATATATACAGAAAGTTTTTCAGACAGACAGTCTGATTGATTGCACCTTGGCATTTTGACTGCTATACTGCAGTTCTACTTTTTATAATCTCTTTTGCCTTGCAGCCCCCCAACTAGGGGCGTTAAGCAGGCTCAAGTCGCTACTGCAAAAGAGATTATAAAAAGTAGAACTGCAGTATTGCAGTCAAAATGCCAAGGTGCAATCAATCAGACTGTCTGTCTGAAAAACCTTCTGTATATATTCCCTTGACTTGGCTGACAAAGAGGGAAGGAGACTCTGTGGCCTGGTGGTTAATATAACTGCCTAGCATGTAGGCTGTCCAGGTTCAAATGCCATAAAGGGTGTGGCTTGCTGATGAGGACAAATAAGTCTGAAATAGCTATACTAGTTTCCCACTTAAAAATCTTTAACTCTTGTCAGCAAAAAGAAATCTGAATATATATATATATATATATATATATATATATATATATATATATATATATATACAATTGAAGGGACCTGAAATTCTGACCTGTCATTTTTCTATTGAACACTATCATGTCTTTATTATTGCTTTGTCTCTGAATATTTCCTGCCTATTTTGTGTTTTGGATGTAAAATTATTCTTTTGTTAAGTTTTGTTTCATATTTAGCTTTTACCTCATGGTGAATTGATTCCTTTGGAATTCATTAAACTCCTTCCTACATTCAGTGTTGCAAAACATACAATGATATATCGCTTAATACTTTTAAATACAGAAACCATACTTCTTTTCCTGCAGTCAATCTATTTTCACTTATGTCTTTAACCTCTTTCCTTTTCTTCTTTGTCCTCTCTTCCACCAACTCATTTTTTTTACTATGAAAAATTGCTCTGCCTCACCCTGAGAACTACTCATTGCCCTTGTATGATTCATTAATTCTCTCAGTCTAATCAGAAACCATAAAATCACCCATCATTTTAGATTTGTTCTTTTACCATTTGTACACACGAACAAATTTATCCTTAAATTATATATTTGAGACCGTCAGATATTAGACAATCACTATTCTAATTTATTCTTGGGACTCTGAATGGTTCTTCTATTTTTCTGTACTTTCTTACCACATTCCCACCCATCCATTCATGTCACCTAGCGGAATAACTTTTTTCTGTAGGCCAGATGCATTCACAATATTGCATACATTCCCCCCAAACTAATCACTTATTCTTTCATTATTACTACTCACCGTAATGTGCAATTCTTACTTATATATGACTTTCTATTTTCATATGCGCTCATAATAATTACAATTTTTTTTAGTAGTTCCAGCAACAAAGTGTCTAATTGTATTTGGTAGTTTTACACAGAGCAAGAAATACTTAATCCATGGCATCGCCATGTAAATTAGAGAAAACTCCTGCCTAAAACCTTGTGGAGATCCTTTTAATACAGTGCTTCTCAATTTCAGCAACTTTATGATATACAGAATTCTGGAAGTTGAAGTCTGCACATTGTAAAGTTGCTGAGGTTGAAGGTCACTGTTCTAATGCATTGAATCATCCTGGTGAGATCACCAAAGATTTGACTTAGTATCTATAGTGTGTGCCACTCTTGGTTATAAATTTGACTCAGTGTCTATACTGTGTGCCACTCTTGGTTAGAAGTCCCAGCAGATCCTTCAATTTGGATGCTCTGACAATACTTAAACAGATCCAAAATGTTGCCTGTTTAGGATTGAATGACTCAAAGAGCCTAAAAATGTCTTTCAAAACTAGTATGGTATATATGTTAAAACTAGTTAAGCATAACTTGTGAGCACAGCATCCGTGAATTGGGTTACTGCTCTACTGTGGCTGTGTGAATCACCCTGTAGACCAAGGGTCTTCAAACTTGACAACTTTAAGACTTGTGGGAGCTGAAATCCACAATTCTTAAAATTGCCAAGTTTGAAGACCCTTGCTGTAGACTAAAATGGCCCTACTATAGTTGAATTTATCTCACACAAAATAGGCAACTATCATGAATGCCATTTTGAATATTTCACCACACTCTGCAGACAATCCTGAATCATATAAAAACAGAATTCTCTTATTTGGCCAAAGAAAAGAACAATATAATTGGTGCACACACACAGTCCCAGACAACAATCTCATCAGCGAAGGAAAAAACACAGCTTTCTACATGCTATGGCTTTCACTCAAAAATGTCACGGTCCTGAGTAAAACCCAATTGCCCAGATTTTGTTCTTCATTTTCTCTCCCCTTCAATTCCATTTTTGCCTCCATGTAAAGCTTTCAGCAGTCAATTCATCTCTTAGAAAGCTATTAGAAACAGGTCAATAATATACCATATGGTGTCTGCCTTTATTAAATCAGCTTTTAGCTCTGCCTTAGCCTGTGAACCACTCTTTTGAACCAGCTAAGCTGCATCCTGGATTCTCTTCCTTGCCACCAACATTTAATCTTTCAGGAACCAGCAATTGTTTTAGGAGACATTTTCATGAATCTCCTAGCTGGATTTTTTTCTGTGTAGTATCAGTAGTTAATGAATCAAGAGTATCTCTGACCATTAAACACTGTGATTTTTCTGGGTCAACTTGATCTCATTTAATCCTAAAGTCATAGCTCCCACCAACATATTTTTGCCAAGATTTCTGAGAACAAAAGTAATTAAACTAAAAAAATTAGTTAAACTTCAGCATGTCTTTTAAAGGGCGAGTGTATACAGATCAACTTAGATGTAATTGAGAAAGACATTCAATAGGGATCTGAAATATAGGTTAGTCCTTGAGTTATGATTACAGTGGAAACTGCCCATCACTGTTGTAAGTCATAAGGGTAGTAAAATGTGTCAGTCACACGACCAACCTGAGTTTATGACCTTTTTTGCACTGGTCATTAAGTGCCATGATTGTTAGGCAAACTAATGGTTCATTATGGGTGCAGTTTTGTCAAAAACCAGAAATAAATGCTGGCTTGTGGTACAACCTTTGTAAAATGTGGTCATGTGACTGGGGGACACTGCAAATGGTTGTTAATGCACCCATTGCCAACTTCAAATTCGGATCATAAGTTCTCCCCAGGTCGATCTTTCAAATGGTCACTAAGCTAACTCATAAGTCATAGGTTGAGGACCACCTGTAATCACACTGCAATTCGACTAAAGGTTGTGTTGCCAACCACCCCAACTTAAACATTTAATCTCTTCTTTCTTCTGAGTGTTATTTAGCTGACAACTATTAAAAAGGAATACAAAACATATGAAGCATGGGAAGTATTTTTTTTGTCATGGAAACAAGTATACCACTAATGTATTTTTAAGATAGTAAAACATCAAACATTTAGATTGTCCTGCGGTAGAATTTAAAATCGTTCATGGCAATGTAATACATCTTCTTTAATGTTTCCAAAGATAGAAAAACATGCAAACATAACTAAGGAAGACAAAAGTCATGATGTAAATTATCTGCAATCAAATAGTTTGAAGGTTTGAAGTTTGAGTAATTTAAAACAGCTGTTCTGGAAGGCGGTAGTACAACATACTCACAGCATTTAGTTAGAGATTCTTTTCTGAAAGGCCCCATTGGCCTTCCCAGAGATATTGCCGTTATACTCAGAAAGTAGGCAGAGCCAAGATTTTAAAAGTATCAGGAATAAAACAGAATTACTCTTCATGGATTTAATAACTTTCCTTTCTGCATTGTTTAGCATGAGAATCCCAAGACTAATGCGTTTTCTCTCTGTGTGAACTTCAACTCCCAGAATTCCTGAGCCAGCTGAAGTTCACAGACCATCAAAGGGCCATAGTCCCCCCCCCCGAAACAATCCCTCAAATTATTTCCAAAAGTTTCTGAGGTAATGCCATCCTCAACAGAGAGATAGAAAAATAAGTGAACCAAATTTTTAAAATGCAACATACCTGAGTTGCAGATGAGGCATCCTTCAGGGCAAGGAACGCAATTTTCTGAATCGAGGCCTTTGACTTCCCCTGACAATAAGAGAGTTTGGTTTTCCTCAGAAAAGGTACACACGTATGCACGCACACAAACACATACATAAAGGGAGTACCATACTTTGGATTCAAAGATTTAAAAATGGCTTCAAAGCACATGGCAACAACTCCTGGCTGCATTGCTTCCCGAGATTTCAGCACATGGGCTGAGTTTGATCCCAGGAAACACCTGTTTCTGAAATGCTATATATGCCTGCCATGTACTCTGAAGCTTTTTGTTGCTTCAGAAAGGTGTCTTGTAAAGCTTTGAGTGTGCTGTCATAGGTGAGGCAAAAGTATGCTTTGATGTTCTGAAATGTTCCAAGTTCATTGCAGTGAGGAGGGGGAAGGTTGCTGTCAAAAGAATAATTTGGGGTTCCAATTCAAGCTGGAGTTGCACAAGAACAAATAAAAATGAGATCCAGACAGCTGTGAGGAAAGAGGAAATCTTTATTCCTTAAAGCAAAATAGTTTGCCTTTAGGGGCAGCTGCAGAGAAATGGGGTACATCGGTAGATTTTTATAGGGGGAGCTTGTCCAGGGTGTGGGAGTGTCTACACTTTAATTCTAGGGTGACACTTGAGGTGTGTGTATATCTGTAGGTATGTATTCTTGTGAACATGTAGTTAAGTTGCAATTTAATTAGCTTTATTTGTGTTTGCAGACCTAATCCTTTGATATGTGGATTAGGTCTAGGTAACTTATTTGGAGATTTGAGGAAGTTTGGCTAAACAATTTCCCCCTTTGCTATTTTTACTTGATTAATTTAGTTTCAGCTTGATTGTCAATTATCTAGTGGAGACGCTGATTCTCAGACCATTGTGGATTCTGTTAATGTTTTAAAGGAAGATGGAAACAGTATAAAGAATAAAATGTATTTGATATAAAACTTCTCACATTGCATTGTAAAAAGCCTTACCTTTTTTGCATTTGTGCTCTTGGCAGCTGTTATTAATGAGAGAATATCCCTCTGAGCACCTCTCACAGCTGGTTTGATTCAGGCATTCTTGACAGTGCTCATAGCAAGGTGCACAAGTACTGTCCTTCTCAGAAAGATAGAAGCCCAAGGGACAGCTCCTCCTGCATTCTCCCAGGTAGAGGAAACGCAGATGGCCTTTCTTATCTGGAGGAGGGAAAGCCTGATTACACGGAGCCAAACACCTGGAAGCATTGTTTTATAGACCAGGATTGTGCTGGAAGAAGTCTGAAACACCATGTGATGACTTAGTGAGAGAACAGTTCCAAAGACTGTAAACACTACAGAGGAAGCCCTATCAAACTTAGTGGGAATCACCTCCTTGTTATTTGTACTTTTCAGATGTGTGAGGACTCAGCCCAATCATTCATTATCTTCCTTTTTTGCTTACATGAAATGATGAAACCTGGTAACCTGCTCTGCCATCATGAGGACAGCTCTCAGAAAACAGTAACAATCAGCATGGAATGAGCCTTCCTTCCTTCCTTCCTTCCTTCCTTCCTTCCTTCCTTCCTTCCTTCCTTCCTTCCTTCCTTCCTTCCTTCCTGCCTGCCTGCCTGCCTGCCTGCCTGCCTGCCTGCCTTCTGTTGAAAGAAAAATCTTCATCAGGGTCCAGTCCAAGCTGGGAATAATCAAAATGGAGACTGCTTTAGAAAGAAGGTTGTAGTTTATTGAAGAGGAGAGCCAGAGAGAAAGATGGCTCTGGGAAAGCTGACCACATGTAGCTGGAAGTGGTGGGTTTTTATACCTTCTTGAACTTTTGTTTGGAGTTGTTCCTGTGGCATGAACTTTGACCTGAGTCTGAGTGTGCCTTTCTGGTATTCTGATGGTAGTGGATTAATCCTATTATGTCCCAAATGTCATAACCTGCTTCCCTGGGGCTGGGGCTGTTGACTGTTGGATTATTTGGTGTGAGGGATTGTTGATTCTAGGGATCTTTTTCTAATCCAAGCTTCCTGGTGCTAATCTTTCTGACAAGATTATGACATCTGCATTTCTGCAGACCTGGTTTCTGTTTGGGGCAGAGAGACCTGTGTGTGTTGGTTTCTGCTGCTAAGATCCTTTGGGGAAATATATTCTGCCTTTTTAATATTTCCCAAAATATTTCTTTCTCTGGATTCTTCCCACACTTCCTTCCTTCCTTCCTTCCTTCCTTCCTTCCTTCCTTCCTTCCTTCCTTCCTTCCTTCCTTCCTTCCTTCCTTCCTTCCTTCCTTCCTTCCTTCCTTCCAAAATGACTCCTGCAAACCCATGATTCCTGCATCCCTATCCCAGTCAATGTGTTTATTCCTGCTTTATGAGTTCCTGCAAACATTTCAACTTTGGTGAAGATTTGTAAGGTAAGTTGAATAAACAAAACCTACCATAAATAAGTCTCAAAAGTGCATATTTTGATATGTATATGTTCTTTTGCGTACAGCAGTGGTTCTCAACCTTCCTAATGCCGCGACCCTTTAATACAGTTCCTCATGTTGGGGTGACCCCCAACCATAAAATTATTTTCGTTGCTACTTCATAACTGTAATTTTGCTACTGTTATGAATCGTAATGTAAATATCTGATATGCAGGATGTATTTTCATTGTTACAAATTGAACATAATTAAAGCGTAGTGATTAATCACAAAAACAATATGTAATTATATATTGTGAAATATTTATTTCTAATTACAAATAAATGAAACTTTGTCTTGAAGCATGGTTAGCATGAGTAACAGTCTTAATATAACAGTAAACTACATTGCTACATTTTGCGGCAGTATGCATAAAAAGCCAACCCACAGGTTGAGAACCGCTGGTTTAATGCATCCAGCAGTAAACTAAAGCAGGGGAGGGGGCTGGCTTTGCACGGCATCTAATCCCCTCCCCGCAAAAGAAAAAAAACCCAAAGCCTAAAATGATGGCCAATAACGTTAGCAAATAACACAAATAGAGTCAGCAGGATCCTGTCCCGGACAGAGACCAACTGGGTTAATGTGAAAGACAGTTTTTACCAGGGAATCCTCAAGGATAAAGAGATTCTGCCTTAGGTATAGGTCTCCAGGTGGGGTAGATTTGGCTGGGGGGGGGTGTGGAGAGGGAATTTCAACAAAAGCCTCCCAATCTTAAACCCTCAGACCTCTCCAAAGGTTTTTTTTCCTGAAACTCGTGAGATCTTTTTCTCATTTTATATTCTTTTCATGATGGAAAGAAACTATTTTCTAAAAAAAAGCTTGGTTTTTCTCTGAAGAAAAAGTAAGGCGGGGAGAGCCTAGACTGGAAAAAATGAGGGGGATCACACAGTCTGAATCTGGCAGAAGTCTGGGTATGCTGCCTTCTTTTGACAACCCCCCTCCCCTCTTTTGCATATTGGAGGGGCTGGGGATAAATTCTATTAAAGCTGCCCAACAATGAGAGGAGCTGTCAATCAAAACCACCAGATCTGCACCTTCTGTCTGCCTCCTGTAGATGTGTAACTAAGAGCGATGGCGTATAGGTGATCAGATTTTCTTTCTGCAAAGCCATCCTAGGCCTCTAAATCTCTCTCTTTTTTCCCTTCTTTCTTTGGAGCCTTTGAAAAGCATTTTGAGCAAATAAAACAAGGCGCTCTCCAACTTTTCTTCCCCACCTTCTATTAGGGGGCATCAAATTCACCCGATCTTCTCCTCTTGAATATTATTTCTCTCACATTCCTAAATGGGTTCTTCCTATGATTTACTTCTTTCTTTTTTTAATATGCCATTTATTCATTGATATTTGAAGGTAATAAATCCGGGAGGTTAAAAAGTTTGAGCAAACTATTAAATGGCCAAGCCTTTGCCTATTTAATAAGGGATTGAAAAACCCGGACACCCGACCCTCCGGGGCTTTTTTCTTGTTGGCTGCTTGAGCAGAAAAGCAGCCGAACCTCTCCGGTGGGTCTTTCCCTTCTTCCTAAGACCCCCCCCCCAATCAGCTCTCCCCTCCCCTGGCTCAGAAAAGCCGAAGAAGCGCAGAAAGATTCTCCGCCTGGGAAGAACTTTTTTTTTTTTTAAATGCCCCAGCAACAACTATTGGCTTGAAGATCCCCTGGCTGCTATTTTTAAAAAGCTGAGAAGAGGGAAATAAAAGAAAAAAAAAGAGACTAGGACTTTTTTTTTTGCACTAAAAAAAGAGGGAGAGGGAAGGGGGAAAAAAAGGGAAATTCTTCCCAGCAGCTGGCTGGTCTGGTGGCAGTACTGGTGGTGGAGCAAAGGGGAATCGGGACCCCGCGCAAAGCTCTCCAGCCTTCCCGGGCTTCAGTCTGGGGCTCCCTTTCCTTTGCAAGTTGCAAAGGAAAGGAGGGGAGGAGAAAAAAAGTTGGGGTTTGGGAGGCCCGCCTCTTTCTTTTCAGCCTGGCTGGCTGGCTGGCTCGGCTTACTCGCTGGCTGGGTCTCGCTGACTCTTCCTCTCCTGCCCCCATTGCCTTTGCTTTCGTGATGTCGCCGCCTTTGATTTGAGTGCTTTTCAAAAATCAGGCTTGAGCCGCGCCAATCGGTTCCTAAGTCCATCGGAAATATGTGTTTTCCGATGGTCTTAGGCGACCCCTGTGAAAGGGTCATTCAACCCCCAAAGGGGTCGCAGCCCACAGGTTGAGAACCGCTGGTGTACAGTATAGATTTGAGATATGTGATCAAATACATTTCCTAACCTACTTGTAATGTAGGCCATTTTTACACATATTGATTGAAAGATAATTTTCCATGGACATCAATTACTCTGACATGGTTTGTTTGTGAGGCTGGTTTACCTGGCTGTGGACATTAAGATCCCCATTTTAAAAAAATGCAGAAAGCATTTGATTCCAGTCCAGTCTGGAAATCTATGGCATTTTTTTCTGCTCTATCATACAATACTTTGAGGGTATGGCTACCCAAAACTCAGATATCTCTGCCCGGTTGCAGTTTTATTCAATAATATTAGTCAAGACAACTTATAAGTTCACAATACAATATAATCCTTTGAGGGTTTTGATTTTCATTCTTAATATTTGGGAAATATATGGACTATATCAGTTGGGGTAATTATGCAAATGAGGTATGTCTGTGTCACATACACACTGGATTTCTTTTTTTAAAAAACTTTAGTATGGGGGAGGGTTTTGTAATTGGATACTATACTTTCTATGAGCTTTCTGCTTTGAAAGGATGTTTTGGCAAACATAATTAAAATAAGCTGCAACATGAGGTGTTGGGAGACATATGGAGCCATAGGACCCCAGATTGCCCATGAGGGTCTCTTTAGCCCCAAAAGGTATATAACTTCAGAAGAAATTTGGCTTTGTGGAGAACTAGGAAATCTAATAAGATTAAAACATCCAGAAACAGAATTGCTAAGCAGACTTTGGGGTCACTTAGATTCTTAAAATACATTGTTTTCTCTCATAAACCAACACTATTATTTTCTTTTAAAAATGTGCTTAATTAAATTAATGAAGGGAAGTTGTAATAACATAAATAAAGATTTCTTCTATCCCAAGAGCCTGAATGTAATTTCCATTTATTTAATTCATGCTGCTTTTAGAGTCATTAAGTTATATTCACTGCAAAATTATATTTGTATATTTTTCATGCATTGTCTAGCTGGATCAACAACTTGTGCACATTTATTATAGTTGGAACTGGCCCATCCACTTCATTTAATTAGAAATGATAGACAACAAGAAATATCAGAATTACATTTACTTCTGCATGCATGAATTCTGGCAGACACTCTTTAAATAAGATAAAGTGGTTACATGCATAATATGGTTTCAAGGGAATGGTGATCAAAGAAATCGCATACAGGTTTTTTTTTTCTGTCCTCATTTCTAATCCTTGAATGTAAAATCACTGTTTATGTAATTTGATCCAGAATTTTTTATGTCAATCTGAAAGGCAATGCCTTTAGCTGAGGACAAAGCCGTAGCAATGGTTAATACTGAAAAGTACAATTAAATGCCTGCTTTAGACTTCATCGCCCTTCCACTCAGCTTTTACTAAAGGACTGGACAAAATAAAAGGCTTGGCCCCATTCTGTTTCCTAACTGGTGGTCAAGATGGCATCCTGGTTCCTGACATTGGTCTTTAAAAAGATGGGATTGCTTATTATCTTTGGAACCAATGCCTAATTAATGATAGCCAGTACTGAATACCTGAGATTTAGTATTATAATATATTGGACTTTCTAGTATATGGAAAGAAGAGATCAAGTAAATATCACCCAGACCACCTGTTATATGAATCTACTCATGTGTTGGAATTTTCTTTTTCCCTAAAATCTTTTGCCTATCCCCTCCCCCCACACACAAATATACTCTGGGAAGATTATTTAGATGTTCAGACAGGGGAGAGAGGATGGACTAGGTGAGAAGAATTCTTCCTACCTCATGTTAATCAATAGAAGAACATTAGATTCCAGGCACACAATGTAAATAAACCTGAATTCCCACTATTGCAACAAAATCCCATGGTTATTTTATTCTCTAGATGTTGCGGTATAATTAACAGAAAATAAATGGGAGAAAAAAAAGAGAATGCCTTACCTTTAGCACAGCTAATGCATTCATTAGATTCACTTCCACTGCATTCCGTACAGGACTCATGGCAAGGCTGACACTGCTTGTTAAATTCAAATTTCCCTCTAGGGCATTGAACAACGCAGTGCCTGTCATCTAAAACTCTACTGCAAAAGAAAAGTGGGGAACATAACATTAGAATTAAGTAACTGAAGAATAACTTCCTTTTAGAGAATGAACTTAAGCCAGTCTGGAGATCTGCTTCCATATTCAGTTATATTCCACATATTCTTTGTACTTTGCTCTATTTTCAGTTTGAAAACTATTTACGACACTTGACAAGCTAAACTTTGAACTTCAAATTGATCTGACTAATTTCTCAAGCCTTTTATAAAACTCCTTGATATTGTTTCCCAAGAGGTGAGGACTCTTTCCAGACTTAGGGAGCCCAAGTGGTCAGATACAGCAACATATTATGTCAAACCATTTTTCATTTATGCTGAGCTACTGTTTATATTTTGATACTGTGGTCCTTATATTTTCATGTAATATTTTACACTGATGGTTGTGAACTAGGGAATCATTTACGCTTGAGCAAAACATTCAGGTTTACAACATTCTCCAATATCACCATTGATATTTCTTACTCATTTATCTATAAATAATTCAGAGGACATCACACATCCTTGTTTACTCCTTGTTCTATGATGAGACATTTACTAAACATTTATTCATCCTCATGCGTACTTTATTTCCATTATATTGTTCTTATCTCATTCACTAAAGAATATTCAGCTCCACATTCATGGGAAACTAATTCAAAACCTTTCACTGTCTACAAGATACAATAAACTTTTCTTAAATAAAAATCCTGTTTGTATTTATATGTTTTATGGGAGTTTCATAACTTCTTACTATTTTACTTAGATCCTTATTGTAACTCAGTTCTGATTCTGAACTTGGGCTGTATCTGATAGTGGGGTCCAAATTGTGAAAAAGATTTTTCTGCAGGAGATTTTGTTATATTAATGTCTAGAGTTCTTTTCAAATTTCCATTGAAAAAGCAAGGGACTCAGAAGAAAAAGTTAATATGCAAGTGATGGTATTATTTACTATTGTGTATTCCTAAACTCTTTTTTTATCAACTCACACATATTGTGCACCAGTGTAAATATAAATTCTGAATTTCCTCACATTATGTATGCCGTAGGGGCAACATAAAATGGTTCATTCCAGTCAATGATGGATTATAAACTCAGATTATAATTGTTTTATATCAGTTCACAAAATAGCTTAAATTAAATGCAGTAAACATGGATGGTATTGCAACTCCTACATGGATAGAGATTATTTAATAAAGAATGGCTTACTTTGCATTGCATACAATGCAATCCTTCGGAGTTGGTCCTGTGCATTTAGAACAGGAAACGTCACAGAACTGGCAGTGACCAAGAAAATCAATATATTCTCCTATAAAATAAAGAGTTTATTTATTACTAAATTTCTGGTTGATTTAAAGTCACATGCTACCAACAAAACAAAAAAAAAAGGATGGTTACTTGCTGAAATTTGCAAATGAATGTGGTATTACAAATATTTCCTGGAAAAGGTGCTTACAAAGGAAGTTAGTTTAATTCAGTATTAGAATAGAATGTGTCTTAAGCAAAAACTTACAGCATCTGCCACATTACACTTTAGACCAGGGGTCTGCAACCTTGACAACTTTAAGACTTGTGAACTTCAGCTCCCAGAATTCCTCACACAGCTGGCTGAGGAATTCTGGGAGCTGAAGTCCACAAATCTTAAAGTTGTCAAGGTTGCAGACCCCTATGTCTAGACTTAACCATTGATGATAAGAAAGACAAAAAAGTTGGAATAGTGGACATTGCAATACTGGGAGACACCAGAATAGGAGGGAAAAAACTGGAGAAATTACAAAAATATAAAGACCCACAAATACAAGTAAAACGACTGTGGCAAAAGAAAGCAAAGGCAGTGGCAATAGTAATAGGTGCTTTGGTGCAATTCCAAAATAGCTGAAGTGTCACTTGAACTCTATCAGCATTGACAAAAATCACCATCAGTCAATCGCAAAATAGCTTTACTTGGAATTGCTTACAACCTGGGATGATACCACCAAACAACAATATTTGCCTATCCCAGGTCCTTGAGAAGAACTCAATAGGTAGGGGGAAAAAACTGCCAAATCCAGTCTAAATATCAGCTGACAATGTGACCAATCGTAATAATTTATTAGCAGGAATAATCGAATGAATAATTATTTCTTGGAGTGAGAAGATGTTGATTATGATATGCAGCTGAAAAACGCTGGACATGGAATGCAGCTCACAAATTTGGATTGCGTTGCAAATCTTCAGAAATGTTTCTCCAATACTGAGCATCAGAGGAACAATCGAAGCATTCTTTAAAATGGTAAATAATACGTTTTGGATGTAGGTGGGCTTTTCCAATGTAGGAACAAGTATGGCATTTCCCTGCAGGCGTAGATTACTCTTCCATTCATATATTACCTAGTAATGTAAAAGAGGAAAATCTTCTATAGAAACTTTTAGTAAAATTTTAAAACATCTGTAAGACTATTGGAATGGATCATGTAACTTTTAAAAACTTTACATACGGGTTTCATACAAATTAGTATGAAAAGTTTTCTGAAACCAGAATAAAAATTTAAATGAGTTGATGTATAGTTTGGAAGATTTCATTATAACTTATGCCAACAAGCCATTCACAGGAGCTGAAAAAAACAAAAACAAAATAAGAGTCAGTGATGACTACCTGAGGTAGGAGCATGAAATAACTAATAAAATGATAGAGGAGGTTAAAAAAGTGAGAATATTATATTAATTTATAAGGCAGTTTGTATAGAAAGTGTAACATCAGAGATTAAAAAAAGCTGAGGATGGAGAAAATGGAACATATTGTTTATGTAGATAAAATAAGGGCATTTATCTTCTAGAAAAATATTAAGCATTAAGTTAGATCTATAGGTTACAGCACCAGACTTGAAAGCAAAAGACCATGAGTTCAAGTCCTGCTTAGCCACAAAACCCAGCTGACTTTGAGCCAGTCATTCAGCCTAACCCACCTCACAGATATGGGGAAAATGGGAGGAGGAAGGTGTGCTGGGTATATTTGCTGCCTTGAGTTATTTGTAAAAATAATAAAGGTGGGAAATAAACTAATATACAATAAATAAATATGCAATAGCTGATAAGAAATAAAATATTCTGAAAATGTTGACAGTATAACAAAAACCCAAATATATTTTGGACAAAAATGGTCTGATTCGGCATAAATAAAGGTGTAGATAAGCAAACCTATTGGAGATAGATAAATGACACCTGTCTGGAGGAATTTCCTGCACAAAGTTGGCTTCAAACAGCTCTGCATTGGGGATTTGCAAATATTCATCAAATTCCAGGAACCATTAGCACGTTTGTGTCTCGCAAAGAAAAAAAAACCCTGAATTTTTCCACCTTGCTTATTTTTTTTGGCACACAATATTTTTGCTTTCTTTCTTTATACTGTACCATAATGATTAAGAAAAACATTCACAAAGAAATGAGCCAGGCTTTGATTTGTTCCAAGCTTGGATATATCTTAGGAAAGAATAACTCTCCTCCCATACATTGGTACGTCAGATTGCTGTCAATCAGATACAGCCAAATCCCAGGTTAAATAGGTTATTTTGTAGAGTTTAAGTGACTTTGTAGAATAAAGTAGGATTCTTTCAAAGTACTTGGAACTGAATTTCAGTTCCAGTGGAATGTTTAACCTCTATAATAGTTGCTCAAGCCAGAAAGAGGAGCAAGGAAGGAAGGAAGGAAGAAAAGAAGGAAGGCACGTGATCATAGCGTACTATTAATGGGATATTTCAGGAACTGAAAAAAGTCAGATGACAAAATAAGACAGAGCTTTGCATAAAGCGATGAAGCTCAAAATGTTGATATGAAAATCTTCCTGTCAGTGGGATGTAATTTTAAATGTCCTAAATATTGGGGGTTAACTGGCATCTGGCCTTTTCAAAACAGAAGTGCAGTCCAGGAAGGTCTCATACTAACTACACTGCACAACCAGAGGGGCCAAGACAGCCTTTGCAATTCTCAATAGTAACATGAGTAGCAGACCAAGTATGGCCATAGCGAAAGAGCCCTGGACAAAAAGCAGAAACTGAAAAAATTCATGCCTTCTTAAAGCAGCCCCAATAACAGCTGCACAGCTGAATAGCAACAATAGAGAGAAACACAGGAACTTGGAGTTGCTGGACAAGGCGTTGAGGGAACACATTGAGCAAAGAGGCAACCAAGCCAATGGGAAGAAGACAGTCAAGCTTCGTTGGTATGATTTTCGGGACTACCTATGCTACTTCTCTGAATATCCAGCAGCTCACATTTGGGGTGACAGAAGTTGATTACAATTGCCCCAAAAGATGCTTGTATGCCTACCTACCAATCTTGTTGCAATTATCTAATGCCTAGTTTGGGGAGTTGTTAATATTCCTGAAATCCAGGCTTCTGTTCTTTTGGGTCCTCTATCTCTGAAAGCCACTGGCACGTGGTTCACTGTTGCCACTTGTGGTCCTTGAATCTTTTTTTAGTTTTTCATTTTGTCTTTACTTTGAAATTGGATTTTTCCAGCACTCTATTTTATCTGGATTTTTGAGGGCAGCCTTGTCAGGGCAAGTGCTCCTCAAAACATTGTTCATATGGTTTGTATCAATTTGTGACCACTGGATTGTCTACATTTTGGTTTGTTGTTGATGGGATAAAAGAGCAAAACATGATATATAGTTGGATCTGTATCATCTAAATATGCCAGACCTGAGACCCATGGTACTGTATACAAATATCCCTCTGTTGGCTGTTGTTGCCATTCTCAGCTTCCACAACCTCCTAATTTGATTAGAAGAAAATGCCTACTTCTTATTTAATTACACTGTGAAACTCTTATTAAAAATAGTAGTGATTCACTAGTATTTGGCACTAATTGTATTTGCAGAAGGTAACTGGACTGAGAAACCAGTGGATCAAAAATTCTAGGTAGATCTATTTCACATCAATACCTGAAATAAACAAAAATAAAATGTTAATGTATGAGAAGGCTAGAGGGAAGTATTGTCTTGGGAAAGAAGCTGAATTCTGTGTAATTTTGCAAGTTTATCAGCATAAAACAAGGCTCAGATGGTGTGTATAAATGAGCTACACAGGTGTGAGCAATCTGTTTCCCTGAAAGGTATTTACATTTCTGCATCTTCTTTATACACACACACACACACACTTCTCCAATGCATGATGTAAAAATTTAGGATCTTACTATGTAATAGTAGAAATACATTTTATTGCCAATTTTTGTTGGAGAATGAAGGAAAGGGGTGTTACATTTTCAGAAATCTTACCATAGTTACAAAAGTTAACCTTGCTGAAGCCTGCTCCTTAATATAGAAAAACAAGTTGAAAAAAATTCAACCTTCATGTTTTGTTTTTCTTTTTAGTTGTTTGTATTTATGATTATTTCTCGCATTTCTTCCACATCCTCAAAGTAGTTTACACAGGAATTATCTTTCATGTGATCTCCACAACAGCAGCCATGTGAGGTATGTTATGAAGTTAGACCAGTATTTCCCATCTTTGGTGACTTTATGATGTGTGGATTTCAATTTCCAGAATTCCCCAACCAACCATGCTAATTTTATTTTACATTGCCTCCATCCTTGTACTAAATTATGGTAACATTCTTCGAAAAAAAGAATGTAGACCAGGTTCCATAATTGATTGAAACATACTTCTACATGACACCTCATGCTTGCCTAGGGCTGGAATGAATTTGTGGGACTTGAAGTGTCTCTAAAACCAGACCTATAAATAGACTTAAGGCATAACTGAACATAAAACCCATTGCTTCTTCTATAATTGCCAGTCTTCACCACTACCATCATTTCATATATTCTCTGCTGATCTACATAGTGCCAGCATACAAAACCAGAGCATGTTTGAGAGCTTCGTTACAGCTGAAGTTTACAAAATAGTTAAAAATAATACCAAGGGCCATTGTCATTTTAACAAGAGGAATGGGACCTGTGCTTCGCTGCAAAGTAATATGTATGTCATGGTTCTGACAGATGAATCTCTTCAAAAGAACTTCGAGGCATTGTTTACCTTAAGGAATCTTTTATTCGAGAAGCATAATATCGGCACTACATAGTTGAATCTAAAAACTGAATTTCCCTCCCCTTGGAACAAAGCACAATTCCATCCTCTAACTAACAGGCATAAATCACATTCCCCAATTAGCTTGAAACATGGGCTCTCTTTACATCTCTCCAGCCTGCCAAATCATTATCAACTCTGGGCTCAGTAACCTTGAGTTCCCACGGCTTAGTTTTTTGTTGCTATGACTAACTGGACTCTCATCCACATCCCCCCTCCCAGCATCAATCAGCTCTAAAAGCA